ATATAAACTCAAAACAGGCAGTCATTTTGAGCACCTGAATCAGGTGTTAGAAGGAACTGTTAAGATCGATTTCTTACGGGCACACTTGTGTGACTTTCACGGCAAAGTCAGAGCGGGAATGCAGTGAGTCCGCCGGCTGCAGGCTCAGCTGCCCTTGGCTCAGCCACCCAGGCAAAGCAGGAACAGAGTCTTCAAATGGCCTCTGGCAGTGCACGCTCCACTGGATACAGTTGTGTAAAGCAGGGACCTCCTGGGAAAGAAACCCCAGAGCTCTATACTGTCTTTGGATGTGATGTCTCTCAGCTGAAGGGAACATATGGAGACCTGCTGGTGTGGGTCGAAGTGGTCACAGACCACAGTGGAGGGCTCTGGCATTGTGCACCCTAAGGATGGGGAATAGATAGTGGAAGAAGGCAAAGATGCCTGATTTGTCCCTTCAGACAGGAATCAGTCTGCCATCCACACTCCAGTCCCAATGCTAACTATTAGGGAGGCAGTAAAGGTGGAAGGGGGCAGGGGAGATTGACTGAAGGCAAATCCATACATTAAAATGCCCAGAAACATGTTTTCCATTCAGTGTTGGTGGCTGGCCAGCAGGGAGATGTGTGGATACACTGAGAGTCTACGTCCAACACGGATGCCTACGGGGAGCTTCCTGTGGGAAGGGGGAAGCACAGGCAGATCCACCTCCAGAGGGTCCGGCAGGACATCTCTCAGGTCCTCCTCCAGAAGGTCCCACAGGGCATCTCTGGCCACAGCCCAGTGGTGGGTACAATTCAGAGCATGAGCTCTGGAGCTCACACCCATGAGCTCAGGTCCTGCCTCTGGCTCCCATTAACTCCCTGGTTTGGGAAAAGTGACTTAAGCCACTCCTAGGCTCCACTCACCTACCTGTAAGATGGGCTTCATAAAAATGTCAACTTTCATATGGCTGACTAGTAATTAAGGGAATTAATTCATGTAAAGCACTTGTGAGAGTATAAAAAGACCACAATAGGTGATTATTGTTATATTAATCCTGCCTTAATCAGCCTTTTATTCTCGTCTTTCTTTTGCATATACAGAATGCTTTAAACAATACAATCCAGAAATTCAACCAGCATTTCTTAGTTCTGAAAAGAAAAAGGAAATACTATGTGCCTATAGAGAAAGAGGAGGCATATGGAAGGAGTTGAGAAACCACTAATCACTAAGTTTGCAAGAATCTGAGCCACTAACTTCCCTGCCTTTAGCAGCCATCAAGCCTATAGGAGCTGCCAGAGGTGGTGATGAAGATGAACCTGTGAACATGTTACATACGGGGAGAGAGGTGCTATGTAAGGGTCAGGATACAGGGCAAGGGGAGGGAGGGAGTCACAGGGATACCAAGGAAGAGCATTCCAGGTGCAGGGAACGGCCTGTGCGAGGGCTCAGGTCGAATGCAAGGGTGAGTTCGTGGTTGGCATGGCACAAGCCAGAGGGGCTAGTGGGAGCCTGCATCAGAGGAAGGTGGACATGTACCGTGATCTCTGCCTAGCACTGACAGGGGTCGCTAGGGCATCTTCCTGCAGGAGATTGAGTGGTGGGGCACAGGATGGAGAGGAGCTGAATTGTTTGGGGACTGATGAATTGGGGTGATTACAGCCTAGGAACAGGAGGAGCAGCATCTATGCCAGGCCCTGCTCTGTTTGGTGCTTTTAGCCATTACTTAAAGGTAAAAAGTCCATGTTTATCCACTTGGCAAACAAATATATACAACTTACTGGTCACCAGAATCAAGACTCAAAACAATCGCAAGAGGACTGCACAAAACTAATGAATACTTATAGGTACAAACTACTTGAGGTAAAAAAAGCTTCTCAAGTATAGACATGATTTTTTGTTCCCCCCCCACCCCCCACCAGAGACAGGGTCTTACTTTACCGCCCAGGCTGGAATGCAGGGGTATGATCACAACTCACTGTAACCTCAAACCCCTGGGCTCAGGTAATCCTCGCACCTCAAGTCTCCCAAGTAGCTGGAACGACAGATTCATACAACCATGCTCAGCTGATTTTTCCTTTTTGTAGAGACAGGAACTCACTATGTTGCCAAGGGTGGCCTTGAACTCCTGGCCTCCAGGGATCCCCCTGCCTTGGCCTCCCAAAGCACTGAGATTATAGGCATGGGCCACTGTGCCCAGCCAGGAATCAGTCCAGATTTAAGTAAGAGTTCATACCCAAAAGGACAAGATACAGTAAGAGCCAAGAATGTGAGTTAATCGCTTAAAGCAGAAACAGATTACGAAGGTCAATCTGCTGAACAGAGCAGAGGCAGCTCAATGGAAGGACTGACACACTCCCAGAGCCAGAAGCCAAGGGAACATCAAGTTCAGCTCGGGCTCCACGAAGGGCAGAGGCTCTTCGGGGACAGGACTTGGACTAGTGGGTCCCCAACAATGATAAGGGCAACTCCCCTGGAGAAGAGAGTTAAAGGAGGCAGTAGTGTCCATGGTGCTCTGTCATCTGAAGGGCAGGAAACAGAAGCAAACACATTCTGTGTGGCTTCAGAGACCAGAGAAGAAGCCAGGGGTGAAGGACAGGGAGGCAGGATCTCGCTCCATTTATGAATGCTCACTTGAAAACTTGGAACTGTTCGAAGATGGAGCAAGCAGTCATCCATGGCCCCTAACACATCCTGGCCACTGCACAAGGCATTTCCAAGCAGACATTTCCAAGCAACCATACCCCGTGAGGCATGGCCACCGCAACACAAGGGCACTTTTTCTTAAACACCGAAACTCAGGTTCTGGGGCCCTTGTTCTATTGTTTCAGACACGAATCAGCTTCGTTCCTCCTCCAGGGCCTCCCTCTGGTGGCTCTGGTTCTCACTGCCCCACTCCATACCCTCTAACAGGGTACTACAGGACCTGGGAGGAGGAGCCCCGCTCTGCAGCAGGCAGGCCTCTTCACGGGACAGGGGAAGAGAGACGCAGTCATCCCGGGCCATCCAGCTCACACTGGCAGCAAGAGAAATCAAACCCTGGCCAGGTTCAGCAGCTCCACCGAGGGGCCACACATGGCAGGAAGGTGCTGGTGAGTGGCAGCTCCATGATGCCCCCACATGGAAGGGCTGAGGCAAAAGAAGCAACCGGCCAGGCTCACCAGAGGGACCTCGACAGCATGGGAGGTGACGTTGTCCTGGAAACGTTCGCATCACTGATTTTCTTTCCAGTACTATGAATTTTGAACCCTTTAAAAAATGTATTCAGTAATGATATCACGTTCCCTTGTTGAAGTGTGGCAACAGGCATAATTAATCCCAGGTCATAGGTGGTAACATTAGACAGCTTATTCTAGTTCACAGCTCCTAAGGGGAAGAGCTGGGATTCAAATGCAGACTCCAAAGCCCAAGCTTATGTTACAGCAGGTAGTCAGACAGGAGCAGGGCAGGAGAGGGCCCCTCCCAGATACACACCTGCAATGTCAGGCAACTGTCAGGTGATGGTCAGGCAGTTGTTAACTGTTTCCTAAAGTAGTAATTGGTCACAGTTGGCAACAAGGAAGGGCCGTCTCCGGGTAGATAGAAAACACCTGAAACTGGTGAGCAGCAGCTTCCCAATAAGATCTTGGGAGCTGGGAGAGTGGGCTCAAGCACGCGCATTAAGAGGCACCATGGGCCGGGTGGGGTGGCTCACCCCTGTAATCTCAGCACTTTGGGAGGCCGAGGCAGGTAGATCACGAGGTCAGGAGTTTGGGGCCAGCCTGACCAACATGATGAAACCTTGTTTCTTCTAAAAACACAAAAATTAGCCGGACATGATAGCATGCCCCTGTAATTCCAGTTACTCGTGAGGCTGAGGCAGAAGAATCGCTTGAACCCAGGAGGTGGAGGTTGCAGTAAACCAAGATTGTGCCACTGAACTCCAGCCTTGGTGACAGAGCAAGACTTGGTCTCAAAAAAAAAAAAAAGGGGGGGGGCACGATGGCACAGTTTAACTGGTACATGACATTTCTCTGGGAATGCTAGGCTGGTAAGGGAAGAACGCTTCAAGTGAGCATGTGTACAACGTCAGTAAACACCCTGTGCATGCTGCCCTGGTGAGTGCTGGGTGAGCATGGGTACAACACCAGTAAGCACCCTGCACGTGCTCCCCTGCTGAGTGCTGGGTGAGCATGTGTACAACACCAGTAAGCACCCTGCACATGCTCCCCTGCTGAGTGCTGGGTGAGCATGTGTACAACACCAGTAAGCACCCTGCACATGCTCCCCTGCTGAGTGCTGGGTGAGCATGTGTACAACACATTAAGCACCCTGTGCGTGCTGCCCTGCTGAGTGCTGGGTGAGCATGTGTACAACACCAGTAAGCACCCTGCGTGTGCTGCCCTGCTGAGTGCTGGGTGAGCATGTGTACAACACCAGTAAGCACCCTGAGCATGCTCCCCTCCCAAGTGCTGGCAGGCCACTGCACATGTGGATACCCCACCCCAACGAAAGAATCAGGGGAGAAGGAACCCAAGACCCCAGAAGTATGCCACCTATAAAACCCCAGGTCAAAAGGCCAAATCACACACTTGACCTCTCAAGTTGCCCCCTTGACCATCTTCCAAGTGTATTTTACTTCCTCTCATTCCTGCTCTGAAGCTTTGAATAAACACTCATTCCTGCTCTAAAACTTGCCTCAGTCTCTCCTTTTGCCTGTGTTCCTTGGTCAAATTCTTTCTTCTTAGGAGGCAAGACGTGAGGTTGCGGCAGACCTGTGTGGATTCACTGCTGGCAACACTGTGATCACTCGGAACATCAGAGCTCGGCTCCTGTTTATGGAGGGGTTACCCCCAAATGAGCTCCAAATTCCTTCCCTAAGAAATGTAGGGTAACCTCCAAATTCCCTCCCTAGTTACCTTTGTGACTGCCTCAGACCTACCAACACCAAAGAGGCCAGCTCTCTGCTCTCCTACCAGTATGATGGGGCTCCCAGGGTCCTCTGTGAGCTGGATGTTTGCATAGTCTCTTTGAAATTTCATTTCAGGTATAGGCCTTACCTTCATATCTGCTGGGAGAATCACATGCCTTCTGCGGGGTGGCTACTCGGAGGAATATCTGCTGCCTCCAAGAATGCCTCCGGGTCTTCACAGGGGTCCCACCAGAATCACCAAGATGGTTTGCTTTGGATTCAAAGTCCCTAAAATTATAAGATGATTGATTTATGACTAGTGGGGAGGAATTAATGGGATTTTGTCAGCTTAACTTTTTTTAAACACAGCACTAAATTCTCAACTCTCTTTGTATAAACAAACAATTAGATAATCACAGAAGTTATATCAAGCTCATAGTGGGTCATCATTCCTACAGAACTGCTTTCTTACAAGATTCTTTTCATGAAAAGAAAGATTACATGCCCTTAAATGATTTCTATTATAATAGAGATTAAGAACCATGTTCCACATATCATAGCTGCCAACTGGGCCTCTCTTGGTGCCAGTTTGAAAAAAAAGAGAAACTGCCTAAAGGGGGAACGGGGAGTGCAATGCCAAGGGGTCCCATTCTGCCCTGCTCTGTACATGGGAATATCATCTGCTCAGCACTGACCCAAGTCTCCAAGGATTCCCACAAAAAAATGAAAAAAGTTGCAATTTAATTACACAGAACCAGCAAGGCAGTAACTATGCAGTCACTTGATGATGATGATAGTTTTAATGTGTATATTTTTAAAACTACAAAATATAATTATCAATATATAAACACAATCATAATTTTTTTTTTCTATTCACAGGACAACCTGAGAAGGCCCTTCTAATTTATACCCAAGTCATGTACCTGTAACTAAGCAATCCCCTCAACTTACAATCAGACATCCTGAACAGACTGGACGAACCTGATTTGCGACAGCTATATGCTCACTACCCAGAAACACTGGTCTCAGAGACTTGGTGAAGACTTTTCTTAAGATAACAACACTTAAATAAACTAATGCTCATCAAAACTGGAGAACAGGTTAGTTGCACATTTTTTAAAAATTACACTCAGTAAGAAAAAGGTATAAGAAAGAAGACACAACAGATTTAGCTGAAATGATTTAAATGGCAAAACAGCAGTTAAAACACCCTTGTATATCTAATGATATTCAACATTAATAACACCCAGGCGTGATATATCTAAATTAAGCCCTACCTTTTTGTGTTCATAAAGTCAGAGGTGTTATTTTCATCTACAGGAGCCAGAAATTTTAGAAAATTTGGCACAGAGGAAGAAGAATGAAGTTTTTTCCGCAGGGCATTACGGTAGGAGATGCTAAGAGTTTGGTTGAAAAAAGAGTTTAGGATAAAGAAACATAAAAACACAAAGTATAAAATATAACATTTTTGTTCTAATGCTAAGAAAAGTAAATGAGGTAAGAAATTATAAGTAGTTTATGAATGAGATTTAACTTTCATTTTCACCAATAAAATTTCATTTTAAATGAATGAGATCAGTAATTGTTAAAAAAAGAAAATCAATCCAATTTTCCAAATGACTCCTAAATCAATCAGGAAGTTTTTGATATGGCACAAATTGCAGTGTACATGATCAAACATAAATGTTAATGTGTGTATGTGTATACGTATGTATGTAAGTCTCCACCAAGGCAAGGAAATTTGAAAATAAGTATATAAAAAACTATTTGCAGTGGGGTACAGTGGCTGACATCTGTAATCCCAGTACTTTGGGAGACTGAGGCAGGCAGATTACTTGTGGTCAGGAGTTTGAGACCAGCCTGGCCAACATGGTGAGACCCACATCTCTACAAAAAAACACAAATATTAGCCAGGCATGGTGGTGCACGCCTGTAGTCCCAGCTCCTCGGGAGGCTGAAGAAGGAGAACTGCTTGAACTCGAGAGGCGGAGGCTGAAGTGAGCCGAGATCACACCACTGCACTCTAGCATGGGGGACAGTGTGAGACTCTGTCTCAAAAACAAAAACAAACATGAACCAATGTGCCACTAAGATCTATTTTCATAATTATTTTAAGTAATCAATAGTAAAATTAACTTGGTTCAAATGACAGCTGAAAATAAGACAAAATATAGACAGACAGACACACACACACACACACACACACACACACACACACACACAGTGGCTCTGCTTCCTACATGGACACTCCCCCCATTCAGCAAACCCTTGTCAGTGTGAACTCCCCAGCAAGACAGACAACACCAAACTAGCCACATGAGTGTGCTCACCTCTTTGGCACAGCATTCCCACTTTGTTCTCCACTGGAATTATGTTTTAGGTACTTAAAAAAGTTTGGCGAGGAGGCAGAGGGGTTAAGACGAGGTGGAGGAGCAGGAGCTGAAGACTGACCTGGGCAGCACTTAGACTGGCCCACAGGTGAAGGATCCACACTAAACAGCAATCAGAGAAAGCACGGGGGGTTAGCGGGAGAGGGGGCGCCGACAGGGACACGGAGCAGACAGACAGATGGAGCACATCTGCCTTGGTCTCGTTGTTCCAATAACACTATCAGAGTGGAGGACTTCTTCCACTCCTCTTCCTCATCTCTGCTCTCTCCATGGCAAAGGGAGTTGTCCGTAAAAAACAGAATATCAAGGGCCATTCTGGACCATTTCCCATGTGTTTATGCTCCCCACAATAATATATTTTTTAAATAGGTCTCACTCTGCCATCCAGGCTGGAGTGCTGTAGCACGATCATAGCTGACTGTAACCTTGAACTCTTGGTCTCAAGTGACCTCCTACCTCAGCCTCCCAAAGCTCTGGTATTACAGGAGTGAGCCACTTCGCCCAGCAACAATAAGACTTTTTTCTCTATTTTCTTTTTCAGGAACCGACAGGAAAAAAATTGTTAATGTAAAAACAAAAGCAAAAAAATCCTAACATTAAAAAAATACACGTCCCATTAAAATGAACAATATCCTGTCCTGAATTTCAGTGTCTTATTTCCCGTAGATAAATCAGAAAAGAGTCCACAAGAGGGAAAGAAAGCAGAACAGGCCATGCCAGAGAGGCAGACAGACAGGCATCACGCCATCCCTCTCATTACGGATGTCTGACATCATCTATTATAAAGCTACATTCTTCAGGGAGAAAGGAAAAATACTGATACTAAGTCCTACCAACTCTGGCTTATGAGAAACAGCAGACTTCACAAGACAACTAGGACTCTCCAGACGGGAATGCTTCAATGATCACCGAAAATGCCAAAAACAGAGGAGTGGGCAGGCAGTGGTGAGGCGGAACAGAAGCAGTGTACAGACAGGGTGTTAAGAAACACAGGAAACGTACACAGCTACAACCCAGTGATGCGTGTCTCGAAAAGCTCGTGTTTATTCAGCAGTGCCTTCTGACGTGTGCCCTGCTTTGGGGATCACCACTATCCTGCTGAATTCCAAAGAACCGAGAACTCCTTCCAACGACAGATAGAAAACAAAGCTGAGAGGCTCTGCTCCACCATCCAGGACAGTTCATTCTCCCGCTTCTTTATTCACAACATTCCTGACACTGCTGTACCCACTCACACTCTCAGTGATCCATGTGTGAACTACAGGAACATGAAGGTCCTGGGACTTCTGCGGCTGCCAGTCAGAGTAAGGCAGCAACCGTCCAGGTGTGGCCCTGGTTTATATTTATTAGGTGAAGGATTTAAAAAAAAAATTTAAGTTGTTTTGAACGATAACTCTGTGTCCATTTATAGTCTCTGGCACACAGAGTTAAATGAATCACTAAGGGACATTTGGAAGGAACAGGGGAAACTTCTGATTACCCTTCTCCATAACCAGACGATTCTAACTGGTCACTGGGCCCAACTAGTCCACTGAATAAATCTTGTTAGAAGAATCTAGAATTCTTACAGTGAGAAATTCTAGAAAACATCTATTCTAATTCTGTTAGAGAAGTTTAACAAATTTGTCCGGGTCAAAATTAGTTCACAGCAGAGCTAGGACCAGAACCCAAGGTACCCCCCGTCACCCCATGAGGCCAGCATACCGCTCCTGCTCTTGCAGGGATCACGGCCTCTCCCTCCCACTGTAGCCCTGCTCCAGGGCTTCAGAAGGGGAGACTCATCCACTTGCCCTCTTGCTCACAGCAGCAAAGCTCCACAGTCAACAACATCTCTTACTTTGTTTGAGGAGTAATGGCTATACGTGTTAGCTACCATTTTTGCTCACTTTCACCTGCTTCCTGACAATACATGTACCCATTGCTTGTATACATACCAGCAGCATCTTGAGTTGGGAACAAACGTGGCACTGCTTCCCATCTTATCTCTTTGAGCCAAGAGTAAAGCCTGACTCAAGTTTCTCTCACTCAATAAACATACCTGGGATGCACATACCTGGCTAGTCCCAGATATGCCCCAGCTATTTATGCAACAGATTTAAACGAATCTTACTTTCGTTCATGAGGCGTCTCTGTGCTCACTGAGTGATACCTCAAAAGTTTCCTTTGCGAAACCCCTGGGGACCCCCGAGCCGGTTGTGGAGACTCCTGGCATTCCATGGGGAAGTGACTCAGGGTGTTCGCTCGCCTCCTGAAGGCCTGCTGGGGCGACAGTGGAGCTGGCTCTTCTGGAAGATGGCTCTCCGAGTCACTGGACAGGTCCTCTGAGGAGCCGAGGAGCTTGAATGAGCTCTCAGAGATGGGCAAGGCCTCCTTTTCACACACGGACGGCTCCTGGCAGCAAACACACAGCAGATTAGATGCACCATGGGGAATTTGTGGGATTTATATATCGATAGTTCCAGTGCAGGCAAACATTTCAATATCTAAGTATGTGTTCTGATTATAACGCCATCTAGAGTCCACCACCAAAAGCAGAGGAAAATGAAGGTCCATGAAATGCCTGCTCCTCAGGGACATGCAGCTGGCTGGCTGGAGAAATGGGGAAAGTGCCCAAGTAGAGGACAGAAGGACATTAGCCACAATCTGTAACGTCCTGGGCAACGCCATGAATAGTGCCCTGCCTCTACAAAACAGAGGACTGTTTACTACGGCCTCTAAGGGGTGTGAGTGCTGGACAGCTTGTCTCCACTGCTTCACCAAGTTCTTTATCTTTGCCACACGTGTTCACTCATGTTAAACCCACATTTTGTTTTTTTTTTTTTTTTTTGAGACGGAGTTTCGCTCTTGTTACCCAGGCTGGAGTGCAATGGCGCGTCTCAGCTCACCGCAACCTCCGCCTCCTGGGTTCAGGCAATTCTCCTGCCTCAGCCTCCCGAGTAGCTGGGACTACAGGCACGCGCCACCATGCCCAGCTAAGTTTTTTTTTTTATTTTTAGTAGAGACGGGGTTTCACCATGTTGACCAGGTTGGTCTCGACCTTTTTACCTCGTGATCCACCCGCCTCGGCCTCCCAAAGTGCTGGGATTACAGGCGTGAGCCACTGCACCCGGCCCATTAAACCCACATTTTAAGCCTCTCTGAATCTGATCTACTGTTGAGATTCAGCTTCGTCATCTTGAAATTAGAACTGTATCAATATTCTTAGAATATAGAAAAAAATCACTCTGTAGGCATTTATTGCTGAAATTCTGGGGAAATAATTTCTTTCTGCACCTCAGTTTCTTCATCTGTAAGAGGGTAAACATTTATCTCACCGGGTTTCAAGAACAAAGCACGGTAATAGAACCAAAAGTACTTTTGATATTGTTAAATGTTATACAGACCTAAGTTCCTGTTTCACTAGGGAATAAATAAATCTATGGTATGAGTACTCACACATTTGCTGAGAATCAGGATAGTATTTTAAAGTCACTTGCCTTCACAATGTATGCTTTATCAAGGGAAGGAACTACTACCCCGTTTAGCACTGCACCCAGGACGTGGCTAGTGGCCAATATACTTCTATATATTTAAAATATTTTAAAAGAGGAACTGTAGCAGCTTGCCCCCATTGAAATTGTTGGAAGGGAAAAAAATAAATCAACATGAATAAACAGGAATGAAAGCGTCTAATAGAGGACTGGAGACTGAGTTCTACCTGTTCACTTGATACACAGTTGAGTGCCTTTTAGGCAACAGATATTGAGGGTTTTAATTTGAAAAAAAAAATGATGAAATTTATTTATTAAAGGGAGAAGTTATATACATTTAACTTTATAAGAAATAGGAAAAAATCCCCAACATACTATGAAATGTTGATTACTTTCCTAACTGAAGTTTTTCATTCTTCTGGACTCAATATTTGAACATCACAGAACACAGTCTCCATCATGCAAACCTGTTGATCTAAATTCTTATTACTCTCCCTCCAATTATACCACAGAGCTAATCCTTAGCTTGATTTGACAACTGAAAGGGCCGTTTTCATTTGTCAAATTTCAAGGCTATTTTGGCTTCTTTGTAACTCCTAGGTGATCAATTTGTTCGAACAGATCCAATTACATCAAATAGAATATCTTTATAGTAGTTTTTCAATTCAAGAGGAACAAAAGAAAGCTGTAAAGAAGTACACGTAAACATATACAATATACGCAAGCAGCCTGAAAAGTTGCATCTCTCTTCGAATGACTCTAGAAATTGAAATCTTAGACTTTTAAACCCTTAAATTAAAAGAATCTTCACAACTGTTGAGTCCTGAAGAATGAATATGTATATATTCCTAGACCTGCATTTTGGAGAAAAATAAAAAGCAAGCAGTCAGGCTTGCTGGAACGTCACCTGAGTGGCATGAATCTCTTCGTGGTGTCTTTATTGACACTGGTCTGTCTGGAATGCCTTCTTCTCTGCTCACTTCCACAGGCGCAATTCCTATAAAATTTAGTCCAAAAGCACCACTGCCCCCTTACCCCTCAAGTTTACCCTGGTTGCACTGACCAAACCTAACTTCTCTTCCCTTTGTTCTCCTGACATTTAAGATACCCATGTCTCTTATTTGTAACGTTTGGGATCCTACCACACTTGGCTTGATGCTGGGGCTGTTTGTGCAACTGTCATCTCTCGCCCTAGGTAACTTCCTACACAAAAGGGTTTGTGTGTTGTTCATCTGTATACAACAAATAAACAAATAACTTTTCCACACTTGCATGAATTGCAGGATAAGATCAGTGTGTATTAGATGGAAGCTGGATGATACTATGTTCCACTAGATTTTAACTTAGAAATACACATTTACAAGACTGCTGTCTAGGTCCTCACTCCCCAGAGGGGGTCTGCAGACTAGGAGCAGCAGCACTGCCTTGGAGCTTGTCAGGAATGCAGCATTTCAGGCCTCCCCTCAGGCCTGCTGAACCAGAATCTGCACTTGAACCAGAACCCTATTATGCAGGCACCTGAAATTTGAGAAGCACTCATCTAAGGAAGCGTTTCTCAAACTGGGCCCTCTAACACGTTAGTAGGTAGTACAACTGAGTTTGCCATTAGCATTTTAAAAATAAAATGGAGCAAAATATCAGTATGTATTGTATGTTGTTCACAGTAAATACTGTTTTGTGAACTTCTGATTTTGTGTATGAATGTGTAGGTATGCGTGTTTGTGAACTACATCACAATGTTAAATGTGCTTCTTACTGGAGTTAGAAAAATTCTGAAAGCCACGTGTCTAGGACGGATGGTGGAAGACTGTCAACCATTCCTGTGGTAAGGAGCTGGCCTGCACAAACAACTACTACTGCATCAGAGAGGCCTCTGGGAGCAGCAGGGAAAGCTGGCCTCCCTGGCACAACACCCAAACCCACTTTTCAGTAGTTATAAAGTTGAACTGACCAGGTTTAAATATGATTAAATGTTTGGAAATCAAGTTATTAAAAGAAGGGCATAGACACTTGCTTATTTAAATAAAACAGTAATGTTTCATTATAATCACAGAGCCAGCTATAGGATAAAGTTTCAGAAATTTAACCTGCCCAAAAGTCGGGGAAAATGAAAGGGGTGTGAAGGCTGAAAAGTTACCTATTGGGTACAATGTTCACTATTTGGGTAACGGGTACACTAGAAGCCCAACACCCACCAGTATGCAATATACCCACGTAATAAACATGCACATGTACCCCCTAAATCCAAAATAGGTTTTTTTTAAAAAAGAAAAAACTGATGGATTACATTTATAGGTTTGAGTATGCTGAACCAGCCTTGCATCCCAGGGATGAAGCTGACTTGATCACGATGGATAAGCTTTTGATGTGCTGTTGGATTTGGTTTGCCAGTAGTTTATTGAGGATTTTCATATCAATGTTCATTATGGATACTGGCCTGAAATTTTCTTTTTTAGTTGTGTCTCTGCCAGGTTTTGGTATCAGGATGGTATTGGTCTCCTATACTTCTCTAAATGCACAAATCCACTCTTTGAGGTTTTCCCCATATTAATTATTTTTCGATTGGAAAATCAACTTGAGAAAGAAATCCACTGGCTGTATTGTGACAGATTAGATATTAGTTGTCTAAAATTGTGATCTTGTTTCTTGGTTTATGGAATGACCATCTGCTCTTTTATGTAAAACTTTTAGGTGTTGATAGAACTGCATGACCAGCCCTCCACCTGTGCCAAGAAATTTGGAAGCCCCAAATGTTTTATGATTGGAGGTGTGTAGATAGGAGATGAGCAGGACCTATGTGTTGGTTTCTTCAGGGTGCTGTATAAAGAGAAATGTGCTTACTTTGCTGGTGTTACTTAATGTGCTCGATACGGAGCTATCCAGATCCACACTGGTGGAGTGTTCTTGCAGACCTCTGGCTTTATTACCCTACATAAAGAAAAGACAGTCGAGTTATGACCCAGAGGCTTTTGCAAAGGTATCAGCTAGAAGCAGATTGGTCCATTTAAATAAGCTCAGGAAAAATGTATCTACTGAGAAATGCTACTAAGGATACATGTACATTAAAATAATCAACACTTCCATCATTTTAAAAATAAATAAATAAAGACACTAACCTAAACATTCCAAAACATTAAACAATTACTCAGTGTTAATCCTAACACTGAGTAACTGGGCAGGGGTGATAGGCAGTAAGACAAGATAATTTGTCTATAAGGAGAATCTGGTGCTCAAGCTAGCCCACTCAGCATCTCCCTCCCCTGGGTCACAAGGCATCATAACGGCTAGCTGCACGTCCCTCGGACAGCACTCTATTCCTTTGGGAGCTCTCAAATGCAGCCCCTCCCAATGCTGGTTTTGTAAATCAACTGTTTTTCATGATCTCAGAAGATACTATAGAATTTTCAGAAACATCTTCAAAGAAAATATAATTTAACTTTCCTTAATGAAAAAAATAATAAAAATCAGATGTTTCAAAAGAAGTGTGTCATAAAATCAAAAAACTCTAAGATACTGCACACTCCAGAAGGATGTGAAACTCTGAAGGAAAATCAGATTTGATCTCTCAGATGTGCCATCAAGGCTATTTACACTCACGGGAGGGAGGGGTAATTTCTTAAAGAACTCCCAGACTAGTACACACGTGTACTTTGTTCTTCCTAAAGAGCTGTATTTGGCAACTTTTTTCTGTAAAGGGCCAGATAGTAAATATTTTATGCTTTGTGAGGCATATAGTGTCTGTGGCAACTGCTGAACTCTGCAGAAAAGAAGCCTTAGATAACAGGAAAATGAATGGATGCAGCAGTGTTTCAATAAAACTTTATTTACAAAAATAGGAGGTGGATGGAATATGGCCCATAGGCATGGTTTGCTGACCCCTTCTATACAGCATTTCAGACACCTAACACCAGCAGCTGACAGTAACTGATTTTTTTAAGTCACATATACTGATACTAGGGAGAAGAGAAGCCCCATTAGGTAATGTATCTAATGCAGGCTCTTTATAGGGACTGGCCAACAAATATTCTTTGGGGAGGCAAAAAAAAAAAGTCCCATGGGATATAATACAAAAGAGTAAGTAATATGTTTTTTTTAAACCTAGGCCAAGGCCAGGTACGGTGGCTCATGCCACTAATCCCAGCACTTTGGTACCAAGGCAGGCAAATCACGAGGTCAAGAGATCAAGGCCATCCTGACCAACATGATGAAACCCTGTCTCTGCTAAAAATATCAAAATCAGCTGGGCATGGTGGCACATGCCTATAGTCCCCACTACTCAGGAGGCTGAGGCAGGAGAACTGCTTGAACCTGGGAGGCGGAGGTTGCAGTGAGCTGCGATCACGCCACTGCATTCCAGTGTGGTGACAGAGCAAGACTCCCTCTCAAAAAAAAAAAAAAAAAACAAAAAACCAAAAGCCAAAAACCAAACCTAGGTCCAATTAAAAATAATTTACAATGTAGATAATATTGTTCTAAGACCGAGAAGACATAAAAAAGGTTTTACACTTTTATGATGAACACTGATGGAATAAGAGCACAGAACTCAATCTTACACTCTCCTAAAAAGTGATTTAACTTAAATCAGGAGAAATTATGCTACTTACCCGGGACAAAATACTTTCTAAAGATTCTGTTAAAGATCTCTTTGCTTTGTTTTTCAGCATATCTAGCCTAAATCGAGTGGCACTGGGTGGTAATTCACTTCCAATATTCTCTGCTGCAATCTGTGATATCTAAAAAAGTGAAAACCGAAAAGTTAAGTCACTTATCGCTTCCTTCTCTCCTTCTTAAAGGAATGAAAAATCTCTAGAACACATCTTGTTGGCACTGGGCCATTATTCTGATTCTATCTGTGATCTCGCCTCATCTGCTCCTTAGTGACATGGCTACAAGTCCAGGAAATAATTTTGCCTCAGAGAGTTGCCTTGATTACCCCAAGTAAAATTAGGAGATGTGCTTTGAAACCAATCCACTGAAGTAGTTTATTGCTCAGGCTTGCAACTGGATCAGAGATGTCTTCACTGACCGTGGTCTTCTACAAGTTTCTTACTTTCTCTGAGCCTCAAACTTCCTCTTCAGTAAAGGGAGACCAATGGCAAGATCTAATCCTAACACTGTTTTGTGAGACTAAAACAGGTCAAGTGTGTGAAGCATTGAGCACAGCATGGTAGCAAGGGAGCTAGCCCCAAAAAAGCGGATACTAATCAGCTTTTCACAATAAAGCAATAACTTACCTTTTGGGGCATTTCAGAGGGCAAGACAAAATACAGTTCTCAGTTAAAGAACCTCTTCTCTCTGCCTATACAAGCCCTTCATCCCTTTCTACAGATCTCTGCTTTCTTGCTTCTTCCTCTCTCTACTTTTATTTTCCCATTCTCCTCTGCAAACAAGCTTCTCTCCCTTAACTGCTGGCCATAAAAAATGAAAGCAAAAACACAATGGAGTTTGCTTAACAACCTCTAAATGAAGTCTTAGTGTTACTTATTTACAAGGAGGTTTTTTTTTTTTTTTTTTTTGAAACACGGTGACAAAGTCTCATTTTGTTGCCCAGGCTGGAGTGCAGTGTCCTGATCATGGCTCACTGCAGTCTCGACCTCCCAGGTTCAAGCAATCCTCCCACATCAGCCCCCAAAGTAGCTGGGACTACACACTATGTAATTTTTGTTGTTTTTTTTTTTTTTTGTAGAGACGGAGTTTTACCATGTTGGCCAGGCTGATCTCAAACTCCTGAGCTCAAGTGATCTACCTGCCTAGGCCTCCCAAAGTGCCGGAATTACAGGAGTAAGCTACCACATCCAGCTGAAGGTACATTTTTTTTAAAACATACAACAAAAATATCTGAATGAAACTGTTTCTTAGGTGGATTCTCACCTGATTGCTTTCTGCTAGAAAATAATTTTGTTAGCAAAACAAACGGCCAGGCGCAGTGGCTCACGCCTGTAATTCTAGAACTTTGGGAGGCCAAGGTGAGTGGATCTCCTGAGGTCAGGAGTTTGAGACCAGCCTGGCTAACATGGTATAACCCCATCTCTACTAAAAACACCAAAATGAACCGGACATGGTGGCGCACGCCTGTAATCCCAGCTACTCGGGAGGCTGAGGCAGGAGAATAGCTTGAACCTTGGAAGCAGAGGTTGCGGTGAGCCGAGATCACGCCATTGCACACCAGCCTAGGCAAGAAAAGTGAAAATCTGTCTCAAAAAAAAAAAAGAAAAGAAAAAAAAGTCACAAAAAGAAAGAAAAATGTATCTACTAGAAAACAGACCCAAGCAAATCAATTCGTTATATAGCAATAAATTTTGTTAAGTCCCTTTAAAAAACATAATGATTAAGATAAAGTACTTACGCATCAGAAAAAGTGGCTCCGATACTCACTAGCTACCATTTCCTCATGCACACAATGGGTATTTTACCACCTACCTCAGAAAACTTGTAGGATGAATGGAATCATTTACGTAAGGAATGAGAACTCTAGCTGGTACACGGCAAACATTCAGTAAGTGGCAGCTGATTTCATACTAATTTTTGTGCCACCTCTGTGAATACAGGTGGAAATGACAATCCGTTGACTAAAACATGACAGTCTCTAACTTAATGTGTAAGTCTTGCCCAAAGTGAACCCTGTTCCACAAGATCAAAAGGTTCATTCAGGGCTTTTTGTATTTCACAACTCCTCTGACAGTTATCCGGCACTATTCTTTCGGTCTCTGAAAAGCACACAGGGCATCCCTGCTGACCCTGAGGCTCACAGCACTGAGGAGTGCTCACTGTCCTCCAGCCGCTTTTGAAGTCCCGTGGCCAGAGAAGTTCTTTGTCAAAGCCACGATCCTACCATTGTCTAGGTCACATCTTCCCACATTTTCAAAAGCTATAGACATTTTTAGGTGCGACAAGAAGGTAATGAAATCCAAGTGGCTAAACTGATAGCAAAAAACATGAAAAGGAATCTATCAGTGAATCTCAAGCCTGTGCCTAATAGGTCTATAAAGCAGCTGCTGCTCGGAAAAACCCACTTCTCAGAGCCCATGAGAGTGTCCAGCCTGGAGGACACCAACCTCATCAGGGGATTAGGGCAGATTCTTTACAGACAAAGACATGAACCTTCTGGGTCACGATGTTTAGAAACCCCTAGTGAAAGTGCGGCACAGAGGCCAGTTATGCTTGTAAGGCTCAGCCACTTCTGCACTGAGCTCTTATGTTTTAGGGGGAAAAAAAACATTAAACACATTTCTCTATTGGATGATCTATGCCCAAATCATAAAAATATCATTCTGCTACATAAAAATGAGTCTGCAGTTAGGTCAAAACTTTCCATCCACCATACGTGCTCAAAATGTTTAGTAAAAGAAGACTTTCCATCTACCATAAATGCTTCATTCCCCTTTCTGGCAGTTATAAATTACTTTGAAATTATCAATTTCCTGTTGGAACAAGTCAGACTGACTCGGAGAAGAGAAAATCAGAACAGGGAAAAAGCTATCAGTGGCATAAGAGGGGGAAAAGGATGGAAAAGAGAAAAGAAGTAGGCTGAAAAATGAACTCAAAAATTAACTGAAAACTCAGACTGTGTGGTCCACGCAAAAGTAAACAAGAGAGACACAGAACCAGACACAGAACTGTATCTTAAGGGTACAGGGGACTGGGCATGGTGGCTCAAGCCTGTAATCTCAGCACTTTGGGAGGCCAAGGCGGGTGGATCACAAGTTCAAGATCGAGACCATCCTGGTCAACATGGTGAAACCCCGTCTCTACTAAAAATACAAAAAATTAGCTGGGCATGGTGGCGCGTGCCTGTAATCCCAGCTACTCGGGAGGCTGAGGCAGGAGAATTGCCTGAACCCAGGAGGTGGAGGTTGTGGGGAGCCGAGATCGCGCCATTGCACTCCAACCTGGGTGACAAGAGTGAAACTCTGTCTCAAAAAAAAAAAAAAAAAAAAAGGGTACAGGCTGGGAAGGGAGGAATGGCTACAAACCAAGGCCAAAAGTCAAAAGCCAAAAAAACACAGGTTGTATACTCATGCTGGAGCCACTGCTAAAGGACCCATGGCCTGGCCAATGAGATTAGAAACCATGGCTGACACTCTACACGAGCCCACGGGTTAAGGGAAGGCACGTGACTGCCAAAGCAACCCTGAAGGTAGACACCTAATGAAGAGATCTGCTAAGTGGACACCCCACGAAAGCTGCACAGCTGGTTTAGGGTCCAGATGCAAAGGCTGCCAAGGGACCGAGCACACCGCTGAGCACAGAATTGCCTTTGGAACATGCACTCGGGGAGTGTTCAAAAAGAAAAAGGCAATACACTTTTGGGAAACTGTACCTCCTTCACTGATTTTTCTCTAGATTTTTGGCAGACAAGTAACTTTAGCAAATATAAAACGCGTATGCTTTGAGGCTATTAATGGTTCATTACAAATGGACTGACGTGGAGTCCGAAACATAAAGGAAAATGGTCTGTGGTACCACGTAACATAGGGACTCCCAAACCTGAAGATCTTACAAGGCAGAGATCTGCAGAGAGCCTCAGCTTCTGCCTTGAGACCCCACAAAGACAAAAGCTAAATAAGGCTGTAGACAGTGGAGGAGGGGAGGGAGACTCTGTATTTCTGTCATGTAAAATGGCATTAATCCAAGTTCTAACCTGAATAGCACATAATCCAGGCTTGCTAACATTATATTTGTAACCTAGGGTTTATATTACAAAGGACATTCTGGTACTTTCCTTTTTTTTCGTTTTTTGAGATGGAGTCTTGCTCTGTTGCTCACGTTGGCATGCAGTGGCGTGATCTCATCTCACTGCAACCTCCACCTCCCAGTTCAAATGATTCTCCTGCCTCAGCCTCCTGAGTAGCTGGGATTACAGGTGTATACTACCACACCTGGCTAATTTTTCTATTTTTAGTAGAGGGGTTTCACCATGTTGGCTAGGCTGGTGTTGAACTCCTGACTTCATGATCCGCCTCAGCCTCCCAAAGCACTGGGATTGCAGGCGTGAGCCACCGTGCCCTGCCTCGGGTACTTTCTGTAATTCCAAAGGCAGCCATGCAATGTCCTTCCAGGTTTACAAAGAAGAAAGGCAAGATGACAGAACGCTCCCTGCAAGCCATGCAGCTCATCTTGGTGTCACCCACTCTTAAATTCAGTCCTTGCTGCTCTAAGCCAGTTCTCTTATTAGAGCAACTGTTCTGCCTCCACTATGTGCAGACAGAAACTTCTTATCTTCTGAGGCATACATCATTTAACTCTCCAAAATTTCCCCTTTATGTGCAACAAATGAAAATAAAACATAGGGAGAAAAAGAGGCATCAGAGTTTCAGAAAATCCTCAATACTGTTTCTACATAGATTTGGCAACAGTTATAAGACACAAAAATGCCATACCTGCTTCATCTCCCCAATATGGATGTGCTCTTTTTGTTTCTCTTCATATAAACATCTCAGGAAAGAAATAATCAATTCATTCTCTCGCTGCTCATTTCTTGGTCTCAATTTCTTTTAAAAAAAAAATCAGAAACGGGATTTGTTTTTAATCATCAACAATATTGCTAAGCCATCTCTCCATAAATGGTAACAGCTTCCATCCACTAAACTAGTGCCTTTACCCAATCATCTCACTAGGGGGCACTAACGATCCTAAAAGTAGAGAGAATTTTTAAAAAAGGAACAGTGGAGCCAGTGGACCAGATTTAGTTTTTGATCTCTGAGGTCGTCATATCTAAAATGAATCTTTAATATGAGAGAAAGACACAGTCAAAATATTTAACAAATAAATAGCTTTTAAAACAAGAGGAAAAAACAAAATCCATGTAAATACCCAGAGGAAAATGGCAACTGAATTCAGTGTCATAATTTCCTATGTCAAATGTGTTCACCGTGAAGCACTTTGTGGAATCCCCATGGGGCAGGCCCTTCCATACACAATTTCACAGCAAGGACTAAATTTCTTTTATCTTTCTTTAAAAAAAATTTTTTTCTCTCTACGCCTTTTAACTTTGAGACAGGGTCGTGGCACAGCACACTGGACCAGCAGTCAGGACGTGTAAGTTCCTCCTGCTGCCTAGAAGTACGACCAGAGCTAACTCCCTTCATCTGAGCTTTCCTGTCTGCTGGAGTGAGGACTGTGCACAGAGGAAACTCCATTCTCCTCCTGCTCCCAAATGCTTTGGATTTGAAATGCCAGAGTGAACTTTTTCCAAGGCCACCTAATTTAATGTATTATTTTATCTGTATATGAAGAAAGTAAAATTACTTTCTTGAATTAGTGAGTTGCTTTGGGAAACACAAAGTTTTTAGTCTATAAACTTTGAAAATACATCCCCCGTTTTTGTTTTTTTTTTTGAGACAGAGTCTTGCTCTGTTGCTCAGGCTGGAGGTGCAGTGGTGCAATCTCAGCTCACTGCAACCTCCGCCTCCAGGGTTCAAGTGATTCCCTTGCCTCAGCCTCCTGAGTAGCTGGGACTACAGGCATGTGCCACCATGCCCAGCAATTTTTTAGTATTTTCAGTAGAGATGGGGTTTCACCATGTTAACTGGGATAGTCTCAATCTCCTGACCTTGTGAGCTGCCTGCCTTTCTTCCAAAGTGCTGGGGATTACAGGCATGAGCCACCACGCCAGCATACTGACAAGTATCCATTGTCTGTTCCTCCTGTCTCCCTATGCCAAACTTCCAGCCTGCTCTTTAAAACAAATTCAGTGAAATAAATGGATCAACTATACAAAGACCTGAGTCTAGGTCAACACCGCTCCTGGTGACCTTCCTCCTCAGCTAACTAAGGAAGCAACTTTACCTGGCATGTCCTTTCTTGAAGACATGAAAAAAAGGTAACACTAGCACAGACTTTCTGACATGTCCTTTCTTGAAGAGAAAGATAAAAGGTAAGTTGGTCTTGTTACTTAAGGAAAAGATAGTTAATGATCAGATAGGCTTGTTTTCATTGAGGACTTCCTTGTTCTTTCAAATTTCAGACTGAAGTATTAAATATTTTAGAGGCTAATGCAGACACTCTCAACATGGACTCCGGGCTGTGAACCCCAATATTACAAAACTTTACATATTACATGCAACAAGTGGATTTCTCTAGAGAGAACTGGCATTAAATTCTCAAATGGGAAAGTGGCAGTACTGCCACAATCCCAGCTTAACACTGCTAGATCAAAGGGTGATGGGTACACAGAGCCCAAACGTCCACAAAACAACAAGAACTCTCATTTATGGTGGGCAGGGATGCAAAACAGTACAGCCACTATGGAAAGCAGGCTGGCAGTTTCTGATAAAAGTAAACCATTCTTACATGACCCAGCAACTGCACTCCTTGATGTTTACCCAAATGAGCTGAAAACTTACATCTACGCAAAGGCCTATCATCTCATGTTTACAGCATCCTTTATTCACAGTTTTCAAAACTTGGAAGCAACTAAGATGTGCATCAGTCAGCGAATGGGTAAAGAAACTGTAGTGAATGCATCTATAAAACTGAGTATGATTCAGCAAAGAGAAATGAGCTATCAGGTCATAAAAAGCCGTGGAAGCACCTTAAGTGCACACTGCTCAGCAAAAGAAGCCAGTCTGAAAAGGCCACTGTGTCATTCCGACTACATGACATGCTGGAAAAGGCAAAACTATGGAGAGAGCAAAAAGATCAAGGATTAGGGAGGAGGTGGGAGAACAGGCAGAGCGCAAGGATTTTTAGGGCAGTGAAACTATTCTGTATATCGTAATGACGGGCAGATGATATTAAACATCTATCACAACCCACAGAATATAGACCACCAACAGTGAACCCAAATGTAAACCATGGACTTCAGCTAACATTAATGTACAAATATTGGCTCATCAATTATAATGAATGAACCCCCAGCAATGCAAGATATTCTATTAAAAATAGGAGAAACTGGCTGGGAGCGGTGGCTCATGCCTGTAATCCCAGCACTTTGGGAGGTTGAGGCGGGCTGATCATGAGGTCAGGAGTTCGAGACCAGCCTGGCCAAAATGGCAAAACCCTGTCTCTACTAAAAATACAAAAATTAGCTGGCCGTGGTGGCACACATCTGTAATCCTAGCTACTCGGGAGGCTGAGGCAGGAGAATCGCTTGAACCTGGGAGGAGGAGGTTGCAGTGAGCAGAGATCACACCACTGCACTCCAGCCTGGGCAACAAGAATAAAACTGTCTAAAAACAACAATAATAACAACAACAACAAAATAGGAGAAACTGTACGGTGGGGGACAGTAAAAGCTCATAAGGGAACTCTGTACTTTTCACCCCATTTTCCTGTAAACCTAAAACTGCTCTAAAAAAATTAAGTCTGTTAAAAAAAAAAAGGTCCAGCGAAGCACACAGTAATTACGAGGCCTCTGAGCAAGTACAGGCACCTAATGGTTGACCTATCCTTTCTTCTCCTGTATCTTTAATTAAACCCTCCAGCTATCCCCACAAGAAAATGTATATTTTGCTTTAAGAAATTCTTCATCATCATCTATTTTAAAAGGCTAATCATATAGTAATAAGAGGAGGGGTATTAATATATTTTCCCCCTCAAAATACACATTAAAAATCTATTTAGGCCGGGAACAGTGGCTCACACTTGTAATCCCAGCACTTTGGGAGGCCCAGGTGGGCAGATCACGAGGTCAAGAGATCGAGACCATCCTGGCCAACATGGTGAAACCCAGTCTCTATTAAAAATACAAATTAGCCAGGAGTAGTGGCACATGCCTGTAGTCGCAGCTACTTGGGAGGCTGAGGCAGGAAAACCTCTTGAACCTGAGAGGCAGAAGTTCAGGTGAGCCGAGATCATGCCACTGCATTCCAGCCTGGTGACAGAGCAAGACTCCACCTCAAAAAATATATATATATTTATATATTCAAATAGGAAGAAAATGAGACTGCAACTGAGAACAGTATACTACCATAGTTGTTTTTCATTAAAAACTGGTAAGAATCAGAGACTGCATCATGGAGCTTGTTAAACATCATAGAGAAGTCACTAAAGCAGAGAAACACACGTTTATATCATACACAATCAAGAAATACATCTTTTTTAACGTAATTCTGAAATATAATTAGTGAGGTGTCATCTTCCTAAAACCTCCCACGCAACTTCACCATCCTCGACAGTGGCAAATCATTATTTCTTAAAGTGATTTAACTTTATGAACATTCATCAGTCAGAGAGACAAATCTTAGGAAAATAATGAGGACTCAAGTTGGGTGACATCACTTTGCCATCAAAAATTACTTGCTTGTTCAAAATTAAACTATGGTGTCACAAGTCAGAATGATGGTTACCTGGAGGCAGACACAAGACAGGACTATGAAGCAATAGAAATACCCCATTTCTTTTTCTTTCTTTCTTTCTTTTTTTTGGAGACAGAGTCTCACTCTGTTCCCCAGGCTGGAGTGCAGTGGCACAATCTCAGCTCACTGCAACCTCCACCTCCCAGGTTCAAGCGATTCTCATGTGTCAGTCTCCTAACTAAGTAGCTGGGACTACAAGCATGTGCCACCATGCCCAGATAATTTTTGTATTTTCAGTAGACACAGGGTTTCCCCATGTTGGCCAGGCTGGTCTTGAACTCTTGACCTCAGATTATCCACCTGCTTCAGCCTCCCAAAGTGCTGGGATTACAGGTGTGAGCCATCGCACCTGGCCAGAAATGCTCCATTTCTTAATCTTGGCACTGGCTGCACAGGTGTATTTACCTTATAAAAATTCACTAAACTATACACCATTGATTTGTGGGCTTTTTTATCTATATGCTATACTTCCATTTATAAAAGAATATTACAAAACAACTGCCTGTTAAAAGTAACAAAACTAAGTTAGTTATATCTTTCTTAACCTGTAAGAAGCTTATAAATTATCATAAAGGCAATTCAGAAATAAATTGCCAGCCTGGCAAGGTGGCATGTACCTGTAGTCTCAGCTACTCAGGAAGCCGAGGTAGGAGGATTGCTTGAGCCCAGGAGTTCACAACTGTAATGTGCTCTTAACACACCCTAGAATAACCACTGCACTCCAGCCTGGGTAAAACAGTGAACCCCTGTCTCTTACAAGAAATTAATAAATACCTCAATACATTTCCAACACTGATCAATGCATTCCACAATGTTGAAAAAGCCCATGGTCTTCTAAGAGACCTACTTAAAAAGACAATACTCGGCTGGGCACAATGGCTCATGCCTGTAATCCTAGCACTTTGGGAGGCTGAGACAGGTGGATTCCCTGAGCTCAGGAGTCCAAGACCACCCTGGGCAACATGGGGAAACCTCATCTCTACTAAAATACAAATAATTAGCTGGGTGTGGTGGCATGCGCCTGTAGTTCTAGCTACTTGGGAGGCTGAGGCAGGAGAATCACTTGAACCCAGGAGACAGAGGTTGCAGTGGGTCGAGATCACGCCATCGTACTCCAGTCTAGGTGACAGAGTGAGACTCCATCTTCAAAAAAAACACTCACTTGGACACTACATTATAACATCTTTTTTAAGATTATAATCACATTTTATAAGAAATAATTTTAAAATAATGAAAAATCCAAGCTGAAATATATTCTTCAGAAAGTTAAAAAAAAAAAAGTCTCTTTTGACCATTAACCTTTAACTTGTGAAGTCACGTTATTTGATGAATTATCAATGCCTATTGAGTAGGCATTGATTTATCTAGTCAGTATTTAACTAAGTCATTTCCTGAAACACACTCATATAGATGAGGAGAACTAGACTTGGAGATATTTCATTTATTAGCCTCACTTCGGCTTCACAGCAATTCTTATCCTGAGATGACCAAGTTGGATTTAGCATATTCACCCGGTAACAGACAGCATGGGGTCATCCTCACATATGCCTAGCAAGATATGTTTGAAATTTAAACATTTCAAAAAGCTCATAAAAAGATGGCTTTGCAGTGTGGTATGCCCACATGCCTGTCTAGCATCAAGTTCTCAGAGTGCTCAAAATTGGCTTATTTACAGCAGAGATAACCTCCAGCATTGTTTACACAGTTTCTCTCTCTCTCTCTCTCTCTCTCTCTCTCTCTCTCTCTTTCTTTTTTTGAGATGGAGTTTCGCTCTTGTTACCCAGGCTGGAGTGCAATGGCGCGATCTTGGCTCACCGCAACCTCCGGCTCCTGGGTTCAGGCAATTCCGCCTCAGCCTCCTGAGTAGCTGGGATTACAGGCACACACCACCATGCCCAGCTAATTTTTTTTTTTTTTTTTGTATTTTTAGTAGAGATGGGGTTTCACCATGTTGACCAGGATGGTCTCGACCTCTTGACCTCGTGATCCACCCGCCTCGGCCTCCCAAAGTGCTGGGATTACAGGCGTGAGCCACCGCGCCCGACCCCCAGTTATTATTTTTACAGTTGTTAAAGTTCCATTTTGGGGGGGGGCATTAAATATTCATTTACATAATCCTTGACTATGGTATGTTTTAATAACTAATCATGTACCATAAATTTCAACAGTAATTACATTTCTCTTATGAAAATGTGCACATGGAGGAGTTTTTCAGAAACAAATCCCACTCCAGGAAAGACTGAACAAAGGAAAATATTTACCATTCTATTTATAAGAGGACTCAGGAAACTGCAAATCCACCTTTTTCCTTACAACCTTTTTGAAATGTATGATGTTCAAACACGGTAGCAGGCATTGCTGTCTAAAACGAAACCAACGACTTGGGTTTATAAAACGTTTTCTAAAACCAAGAATGGTCATTGAGAACATAATGAAACAAGACCATCTAACAAGCCACTAGAAAAAGAGATCCATGAGCAAATCTATATCATTCAAAAACTAGCTGCACTCACGGTGATGGAGGACAGAGCGGGAGCTGGCTTTTCAAAGCTGGGGAGCACCACAATTTCCCTTTGTGTTTGGAGCAACTAAACAATTTCAGAGACCTCTAGAACGACACACAGGGGCCTCAGGATATTAACTGAATGCGTTTTTTTTTTGGTAGCTGGAGTCTTGCTCTTTCGCCAGGCTGGAGTGCAGCGGTGCAATCTCCTCACTGCAATCTCCACTCCCCAGGTTCAAGCGATTCCCCTGCCTTAGCCTCCCAAGCAGCCAGGACTACACCCAGCTAATCGGTTTTTGTTTTTGTTTTTTGTATTTTAGTAGAGCCAGGCTGGTCTTTAACTCCTGACCTTGTGATCTGCCCGTCTCAGCCTCCCAAAGTGCTGGGATTACAGGTGTGAGCCACTACACCCAGCCTGAAGGCTTTTTTTAAAAAAAGCAAATCTTAGTCAGTGTCTTTGCCATGATACACTCAGTGTCTAAAAGCCTGCATGAGTCAAAGAGAATCTCAGAATCATGTCCATTAGGAACATCTCATTGCTGCAGAGGAGTATTCTGTGTATTACCTATACTGATTCATCACACTGTGTTAGGGAGAGCTATGTGGTGCTTTCTAAACAAAAAAGAAAACCCATATAATGAAAGGCAAGTTCCTCTTTGCTTGCTAGAACAATGTTTCTTAAAGTGACCATTCTAGGGAAAGCTCTAGAATGGTAAAGGGGCCAGCATCAGATGAGAAAGGCCCCAGCTTGAACTGTAAATGCATTAACAATCAGAAGCATATTGTCCATTTTTGAATTCCAAATGCAAATCGCATATTTGTCTAAGAGTATTGTGTACTTAGAACTCTAAAGATCTTTAAAAAAAAAAACAAAGTAGCATGTCTCAAGTTGATTCAGAAGAAAACAAGAAAACATAAAGACAAGTGAAAATTACCCTCTAGGCTATTTAAGACATAAAAAAAACAACTGTCTATGTTCTCTTCCTATAGCATATGCCAATTCTAATGTAGAAGGAGAAGAAAGAAATAAGCCAAGACCTCTAACGTGATTAAAAAGAGAAAGACGGCTGGATCCAGTGGTTCACACCTGTAATCCCAACACTTTGGGAGGCCAAGGCAGGCAGATCACAAGGTCAAGAGTTCAAGACCAGGCTAGCCAATATGGTAAATCCCTGCCTCTACTAAAAATACAAAAATTAGCCAGGCATGGTGGCACGTGCCTGTAATCTCAGCTACTCAGGAGGCTGAGGCAGGAGAATTACTTGAACCTGGGAAGCAGAGGTTGTAAGTGAGTCAAGATCGCACCATTGCAGTCCAGCTCTGAGCGAGAGTGAGACTCCATCTCAAACAAAAAGAAAAAGAAAGACAATCCTTTCATTGTTTTACACTAACAGAAAGTGGATCGTGGATCCTAGTATAGTCTTTCCCAGTGAGGAGGGAAAAGCACTTACAACCCACCCAGTTAGCTGTCTTGTTTTGTATAATGGCTCCTCTATTTGTAGAACCTGCTGCCCGCTCCTCAAAAGGAGATATTCATTCTTTGTTTTGAGGCGCTTCCCTCCCTAAAAAAGTGCCAGGAAACCATAGAAAATGCCCCTCAGCTTAAGCAGACATGAAATTTTGGATGACCTCATTAAAGATTCATAATGAACAGACTACAGGCATGCCAGCACACACAGCATGGTCTCCCTGAGATACATTGCATCTAAATGCAAGGGCAGGAGCTAGCTTTCAAGTTTACTGCAGAAAGCTGATGAGCTAGAATTCTGTTTTGTTTTTGTAGGTTTGATATATTATCAGGTTCAAGTTGGCAGCATGACCTAAATTTATTTTTTAAAATTAAAAAAGAAGGGGTGGGGGAGAAGGAACAATTCTGTTCAAGTTCACGTACCAAACGTTGTCTCATTCGACTCCCACACTTAGGGCTGAAATCCTGAGCGGAAAGGGGTGGGCAGAGGTTTCCCAGGGAACAGATGAGTGCACGTAGACCAGAGGCCAGGCCTTCTGTCTCCCAGCCTGAGGTGCTTTCCATTTTATGATTTCCTCTCTCTTATTCTAACATTTGTTTAAGGAGGAGGCTTAAACAGGTTTCAGTTGCTTTTACTATCTAAGCTAACATTACCTTCTCACCTGGACCCCCTATGGGACTGTGAAAGCTTAAGCCAAGCATGTCCCACAAGTGGCCCAGAACGGGTATGAATGCAGCCCAACACAAATTCATCAACTTTCTTAAAACATTATGAGATATTTTCTTGAGATTTTTTTTTTAGCTTATCAGCTAACGTTAGTGTCTTTTATATGTGGTCCTGGACGATTCTTCTTCTTCCAGTGGGGCCCAGGGAAGCCCAAAGACGGGACACCCCTGAAAGCAAGATGAACTCAAAGCACCTTCCCCTAGGCTGGAACAACACGGGTTTGCTAGTTTGTATACACAGCATTTCCCAGGCAAGCTGCCTGCCTTTTCTTCCCTTCTAGAAATTAAAAACTGTACTGTACCTGAACCTCCTCAAAAATTGTTGCCTGCTCCTGATTAGTTAATGTCGTCAGGTGCTTTTGCAGTTCTAGTTTGGTTTTGGAAGAATTCATTCCTATTAAGAGAAAAAAGAAGGCATGAAAAGACTCCATGTAAAAGATATGAGACAGGGAGTTAACCTCTTCTACACATACCCCCTTCACATTCTTTCCCAGTTCAGGCTTTCAAGGTTTTATGAAAAAAAAATTTTTTTTTGACACGGAATCCCACTGTCACCCAGGCTGGATTGCAGTGGTGCAATCACTGAAGCCTCGACCTCCCAGGCTCGAGTGATCCTCCCACTTCAGCCTCCCCAGTACCTGGGACTACTGGTGCATGCTACCATGCCCATCTAATTTTTGTATTTTTAGTAGAGACAAGCTTTCGCCACATTGCCCAGGCTAGTCTTGAGCTCCTGAGCTCAAGCAATCTGCCCACCTCAGTCTTCTAAAGTGCTGGGATTACAGGCGTGAGCCACTGTGCCTGGCGTGGAAGTTTTCATCAATAATAGTGTCACTGTTATCACTGTCATCATCTTCTAACTGAGCTCTGATATGCTGGACACTGTATAATAAGCATTAAACTGGCCAGGCGCGGTGGCTCATGTCTGTAGTCCCAGCACTTTGGGAGGCCGAGGCTGGCAGATCATGAGATCAAGAGATCAAGACCATCCTGGCCAATATGGTGAAACTCCATCTCTACTAAAAATACAAAAATTAGCTGGGTGTGGTGGTGTGCGCCTATAATCCCAGCTACTTGGGAGGCTGAGGCAGGAGAATTGCTTGAACCTGGGAGGTGTAGTTTGCAGTGAGCAGAGATCGCACCACTGCATTCCAGCCTGGCAACAGAGTGAGATTCCATCTCTCAAAAAAATAAAAAGGCATTAAACTTGTACCATTTAATTCTCAAAACAATCTGATGGAGAGATGCTATTATTCCCAGTTTACAGCTAAGAAAACTAAGACCCAGAGAGCTTATGTCATTTCCACAGACCACTAATTTGGACTCAACCTCAGGTTCGTGTGGCTCCAGATTACTTTCTCCATGTTAAAACACCTCACATCATCAGAACCTTCTCCTCTGAAAATGATCAGTCCTGGTATCGCTATGTAAACCCGACAACTTTTTCTTAGGGAAAAACAACTCCTATTTTGTTGGAAAACTGACCCATACTTCTCTTGCATGCAAAGTTCCCATCACATAAAACTGATTCATGTGGCTAACAGTTTTTCTGACACCACTGCATGCTTATTAATAATGTAATTAACATTACATTTAATTAACACTACAAAGGGTTTTGAAGTTATAAAAACAAAGCCATTATATAATTTTAGTACCCGTTAGAACCTGATGTTTCAAGAAATTCCTTCCCCATACAAATCCAGCTCAGAGCCTGCATTGCCTTTTCTTGATGTCCAGAGATAAATGTCACAGGTGATGAGAAGACTGATAATGAAAGGATGTGCTGACCCACAGCCGTGAAAAGAAAACAACTGCACGGATTATTTTTCTTCTGACGGCAACTTTCGCCTCATCCACCTGGCATTCTCTTCTCATCCTACCAGGGTGGCCCTGAGGCAGAGGCATGGCCAAGGCTCTGGGCTGGAGAAGAGTGTTGAGGCACCTCCATCACTAAGGACGGCCAGGAGGGAAATCTGCTGAGCCGGGGCCTTGTCTGTAGGGACTTGGAAGCCATGCCTTCATCTTACAGATGGGTTTGCTGACGCCCAGAGAAGCCAGATGACCTATGAAAGGCCAGGAAGCCAATTGGCAGCCAAACCTGCCCAAAGCCACAGCTCCTCCCCTCCCAGAACAGCTGAGGCAGAGCCCACAACCACTCAGTAGGCTGGCACTGTGGCAGGGATGGCTGCCCCAACTACACTGTTGAGGCCATCTCTGCTTCCAGAAAGACATTCTTTTTCCCTTTTTTTTAACCCAAGAAAACCCTGAGGCTACCATAGAAATAATATTTAAGTGACTACTACACCATTTCACTTAATACTTTATGTGGATTATTTCATTTCACCCTCAAATGAATACTAGATATGGGCCTTTTTCTTTTTTTCTTTTTTCTTTTTTTTTTTTGAGACGGAGTCTTGCACTGTTGCCCAGGCTGAAGTGCAGTGGCGTGATCTCAGCTCACTGCAACCTTCACCTCCTGGGTTCAAGCAATTCTCCTGCCTCAGCCTCCCAAGTAGCTGGGACTACAAGGCCTGCCACCATGCCTGGCTAAGTTTTGCATTTTTGGTAGAGATGGGGTTTCACCACATTGGCCAGGCTGATCTCAAACTCCTGACCTTGTGATCCGCCTGACTCAGCCTCCCAAAGTGCTGAGATTATAGATATGATCCACTGCACCTGGCCAAGGGCCTTTTTCTTAAGTAATCCCAATGCCCACCTGAAGAAACTGACGCATATCCAAGTCAAGTATTTTGTCCAAGGTCATCAGCTAAGAAGTAAGGGACAAAGTTGGAATATGAACTGTCTGCTTGCTTCCAGCAACCAAACTCTTAACTGCTCCACTGCCCTCCCTGACTAGGAGAGCCAGGTCGCCTGACACTCAGGTGGCTGCAATACAAGAGTGAGCTCAGAGGTGGGTTAAAGTGCAGGAAGTTCGGTGTGTTTGTCAAAGTGCAGTGCAGGCACTCTTTCAGCAAGCTGTCAGGTCACAGGAAGCCAGGGAAACAGACAAGGCTTTATCTGTATCAACTACTGAAATGCTGATGCAAAACAGAGTTAAGATTTTTGAACAAAATAAGCACTAGTCATCCTGCACTAAAAATCCCCACCCCCCCCTCAACATATGGAAGACAGTCGAAATATCGTATTTTGGAAAAATGATACTGTTTCATGAAACACCCCATGTGGAAAATAAAATCCAAAGCCTAAGAAGAATTAGACTAACTTGACACTCTGCCAATCTCAGGTGAAATCCACAAAATGCAGCCTATTCTTGGCTTTGGCAATAGTGAAGCAATCCCCTGAGCAGTTTCACTCTGTCTACGGGATGCCTGACTCATGAGGTCCTTTCCCACCCCATCTCTAAACAGCGAGGCCGCCTAGGTCTGAGCCCCTCCCACATGGATTCTCACACATCTAGCCCCTTGTGGGTGGTTTCTGTACACCCTCTGAAAACACCCTTTGGTTCCATACTAAAGGCATCTCCTCAGAGAGCCCCAGGTGATGCCAAAACAGCTTATGGAAAAGAATGGGAAGCAAGGACCGAAGCAGAAAAGGTAACCAGGGTCAAGGGAGTTTCCAAACTACAACCCTTCCCGGCTCCTCTTGTCAGTGAGGCCGCCTCCCTGGCGGTGCAGAAAGTCCTTGTTAGAGGGAGTGCTGATGAATGACTGTGTTTTACTGAAGGAAAATCTGCTCTGAGAGCAAAAGAAAATCTCAGTTCAACTATTTCTTTTTTTAATGAAAGTATAAATCAGTCTAGTAATTCCCAAAATGCTCCTCTAACCTTTAAAATAAGCAAAATACTATATAAATACCACTGAGTTGTATATGGTTCAAATACAGAACTGTCTAGAGCCGCACTTCTGATGTGTTCGAAGTGCATGTTAGAGCAGAGAGTACAGCACAATCAACATCAACAGCATTATTTATTCTATCTTATAGATTCTGGGGGATGACTTGACTACACTTACTGATTAAGAAATCACGATCTTCAAGTCTTTCTTTTTGTGGCCACATCACTAGTCCTCTCCACAGTTTTATAGAGTTCTTGATCAGACCATATAGAACTACTCTTATACCGGCCGGGTGCGATGGCTCACGCCTGTAATCCCAGCACTTTGGGAGGCCAAGGCAGGCAGATCACCTGAGGTCAGGAGTTCGAGACCAGCCTGACCAATATAATGAAACCCTGTCTCTACTAAAAATACAAAAAATTAGCTGGGCATGAGGGTGTGCACCTGTAGTCCCAGCTACTTGGGAGGCTGAGGCAGAAGAATCATTTAAACCTGGGAGGCAGAAGTTGCAGTGAACCGAGATCGCGCCACCGTACTCCAGCCTGGGTGACAGAGACATTTCATCTCAAAAAAAAAAAAAGAACTACTCTTACACCAACATACAATGAGTTTTAATAAGCCACTTCTTTCTACTTATTAGGAATACAACAGCAAAAAGCAAGGAACCCTAAAACTGTTAATGTAATAACGAGCACCTCCTTTACTAATAACGTGCCCTCTACACTTTTAGAAATGAGTTCCGTCATGTAGGTAAAACTTACCCCCACCAGACTTCTAATTGCACTATGTAAGAATGTTCTGACGTTAGTAGAGTTTTGTGCCTTCGTTGGATTTTATCAGGTGAAAGATGGATTAAATGATTAACTCCAAAATGACGGCAGCAAAATCCCTACCCTGATTCAACTTTTCAGCTGTAACTTTCTGAAAGCTAAGTCAGACCAAAGACAGATTTATCAAGGGTGCTCTGGAAGCATTCCAGTTCCTGCAGATCGTGATCTGCTTTATCTTCAAGGCCAAAGTCATTGCTGGCTTCTTAATAAGCTCTTAAGGGATATTTCTGTCATCATTTACCTTATCTTGACAACCACTAGGAAAGGGTTAGTGATCCTCTCAGTTGGGAACTCTAGTTAAAGCACACATATTCTTGTTCCCAGATATATTTTGTATAATGTCAGCAAATAGTAACAACGTGGAAAACACAGTTGAATACATTAATCCTGTTTCTTCAGTTTAAAGAGCACTATAATGCCACAAATGACCCTTCCCAGACCTTAAGATGTCAACTGTGAATTTATCTCATTTAAAAAGGGAAACCAGATACTACTTCACATCTATCTGGAGGGCTTTCATCAAAAACAAAAAAAGCAAAACAAAACAAAAACAGAAAGTAGCAAATTTTGGCGAGGACATAAAGGAACTGGGGTCCTTGCCCATTGCCAGAGGGATTATAAAACGCTGCGACCACTGTGGAACAGTACGGCAGCTCCTCAAAAAAAAAGTCAACATCAAATGACCGCATAACCCAGCAATTTCAGTTCTGGATACATCCCCAAAAGAACTGAAAGCAGGAACTTAAACAGGCGTTTGCACACCAGCATTTCATAGCAGCATTATTCACACAGCAGTCCAAAGGTGGAAGGAACCCAAATGTCCATGAACAGGTAAACGGATCAACAAAATAACTATACAAACATAATGGAGTATCATTCAGCCTTAAAAAGGAATGAAATTCAGGCGCCACTACAATACACATGAGCCTAGAAAACATTAGGCTAACTGAAATAAACCAGAAACAAGAAGATAAATATTTTAGGACTTCGCTTATACAAAGTTACCTAGAAACAGAATGGATGTTGCCAGAGGCTGAGAGAGAGTGGAGCTGGCACTGAATGAGTTTCAGTTTTGGAGGCTGGAAAAGTTCTGGAGATGCTCATGGTGTGGATCGCACAACAATGTGAATGGACTTAATGCCACTGAAGTGTATGCTTAAAGAAGGTTACAATGGGTTACATATATTTTTACTACAATAATTAAAAAAAAAAAAGGAAAATCAGATCTAAATAGCAATGTTGCTTTCTTTCCAAAATTATAGCTTAAAATAAACATTCCTTTTTTTTTTGGAGATAGAGTCTCGCTTTGTTGCCCAGGCTGTAGTGCAATGGCGCAATCTTGGCTCATTGTAACCTCCGTCTTCCAGGCTCAACAATTTTCCTGCCTCAGCCTCCGGAGGAGCTGGAGTTATAGGCATGACCCACCACACCCAACTAATTTCTGTATTTTAGTAGAAATAGGGTTTCACCATGTTGCCCAGGCTGGTCTTGAACTCCTGGCCTGAAGTGATCTACCTGCCTCAGCCTCCCCAAGTGCTGGGATTACAGGTGTCTAATAAACATTCTACATACATAAAAAATACTCAAATTTTTGTTTCTTTTCATAATAATATGGGTTGTTGAAATCATGTGACCCCCCCCAAGTCACAAAAGTCTTTGAAATCCTCCCATAAACAGAACAAAAACACAAAATCATGAACAGAGAGGCGAAAACTCCTTCACCTTCCAGATGCCCTCAGATAAACATATCACCACTCCCTTTCACTCTCACTGAGTTCTGTTATTTCTCTTTGCCCCTTCCTACAGTCCCAGAGACAGAGATTCTCACTTCCTGCCTCAGGAGAATTCCCCACTCTTATTCAAGAGGAACCCCCTCCATTCCATTTGGATTCATTTGGCCCCTCTGGCACCTTGGGGTCTGAATTCATTCAAACCTCTCCAATTCTGAAAACGGCAAAGTTAGCTGCAATCCCCAAGTCTTCCCCCAGCATGGCCTTATCCTGGAAATACGTGGTGGCAGGTAAGAGGGCTTTACCCCTGGAATGAATCACGAGCTCTCGATATACTAGTTTATTCCTAGATATCTCTAATCCTCAATTTACTTATCTGCAATATATGCAAAATAAATAGTCCCTTTTCCTCCCACAAATGTGGTAAGGATTAAATAGATAACAACAAGCGCCTAGTACATTTCCTGGCATATCTTATTCAATACATACATATTAGCTACAAATCGTAACATGTGTATTACAGTTTCTCCCTAAGCCAGGTTTCTAAAAATAGCGGTCAATACTAAAAGTAGCCACTTCCTTTATTCCTTCCCATTTGCTTCTCAACTGCAACCAGCTTTCCGATACCTCCTCTCCATTCAAACTGTACTAGCAGAGGTTTCTAATGACCCTGTAATGGAGAAACTGGTACAAGTTCCTTAGTTCTTACCTTTCTGGATATCTCTGCAGTGGCCAGTATGACTGACCACTCACACAACCTTGATACACACCAGGCAACTGGTTTGGTAACCTGTTTCCCTAACTCCTCCCCCAACCTCAGAATACCTTGGAGGGAGATGGCAGAAGGGGGTTCTAGGTTCTTTTCTTTGTATCACCAGCATCTGGCACAATTCCTGACACACAGAAGACACCCACTGCATGCTAAGAGTCCACCTACAATCCCTCTGACTAATACAAGCCTCTGTTAGATAGAACCTTCCAACAAGTGAGTATCATCTAAAGGTCTCCTGAGACCTGTAACTCCCACTGTGTTCAAGCTGGACAGGGTCCTCTACTCACCCTCTATCCTCTCACAGAGCTTGTGCAGGCCTTGCAGTGGGCAGCCCTCACATAGCTGGGCTGGTGCCTTGGCCGTCTGCTGCACTGCAGCCACCGTGAAGGCCTGTTTCAGGGTCATCATAATTTCGTCAACCTAATGAAAGAGAACAGAAGTTGTAGCCCCCAAAAAGTCAATTTGAAATCAGCTGGGCTGAGATGTCAGGCAATCTACGGAAAATACTTTTTAAGCGTTTAAGAGTTTTCTACACTACTCTTCACAGATTGACGGATAATAATTGGAATAATGGCTAGGATTACAGTCTGAAAATACTACAAGGACCCTCAAAGCTCTTAAAGCAGATAAGGTAAATGACATGGTTTGGCTGTGTCCCCACCCAAATCTCATCTTGAATTGTAGCTCCCATAATTCCCACATGTGATGGGAGGGACCCGGTGGGAGGTAATTGAATCTTGGGGGTGGGTCTTTCCTGTGCTGTTCTCGTGATGGTGAATAAGTCTCACAAGATCTGATGGTTTTATAAAGGGGAGTTCCCTGCACACGCTCCCCTTCCTGACACCATGGAAGAAGTGCCTTTGCTCCTCCTTCACCTTCTGCCATGATCGTAAGGCCTCCCCAGCCATGTGCAACTGTGAGTCCAATTAAACCTCTTTTTCTTTACAGATTGCCCAGTCTCAGGTATGTCTTTATTAGCAGTGTAAGAACAGACTGATACAGTAAAAACTAAAAATACAAACTACTGAGAAAAAAAGGCAAACTCCTTAGACTAGATGTCCAAAATGACATTGTAAAATGATAGGCCAGAGGGTAACACTGAGCAAGTTCTTCAGAAATAAAAAATATAAAATACACACTGAAATAAGCTTCACATGTGCATTAGCTACTTACTGCATAGTCATAAGTGAATAACTAAAGACAAATAATGATATGTCAACGACTATCTGATTTTCCTAAGGACAGAAAAATCAGTGGGGCTAAAATTCCTTGTAAAGAAGGTTCCAAGATAAGAACTGCTTGTCCTCTCTCACCAGAGCCTCATTTGTGCACTGAAACACGTAACAGACAAAATGAAAGCCGCCACCTCCAGAAGACTCCCGGCAGATAAACCCAAAGTGGTCCACGTGTCTGATGCCCTGTCGAAGGGAGAGAACAAGATGTTCAGGTGTATCCAAAAGATGCATCATCATCAGAAATGCACCTCAAGATTTACACAGCACAATTGTATTTATTATTTATGTATTTTGAGATGGAGTTTTGCTCTTGTTGACCAAGTTGGAGTGCAATGGCACAATCTCAGCTTACTGCAACCTCTGCCTCCTGGGTTCAAGTGATTCTCATGCCTCAGCCGCCTGAGTAGCTGGGATCACAGGCATGCACCACCACACCCGGCTAATTTTTGTATTTTTTAGTAGAGATGGGGTTTCTCCATGTTGGTCTCGAAGTCCTGATCTCTGGTAATCCACCCACCTCTGCTTCCCAAAGTGCTGGGATTACAGGCGTGAGCCACTGCACCCAGCCTACACAGCACAGTTTTAAAGAGCACTAGAAAATTACTGTTTTCTCTGATATTTAAAAATTTTTTTTAAGTCTAAAAACATCTCAAATAAGCCTGGTTCACTATAATGTTCCTTTGATTACCCCCACAACAGTAAGAGAACTAAGACCTGAAAACTCAAGTTTTAGTACTCATTTTAGTATTTTTTGTTGTTTTGTTTGAAATGTAAGTATTAAAGAATAAAGACAACTCAAAAAAAATCAAAGCAGATCAGAGATTAGTGAAGAAACACAACTATGCACATATACACATGTACGTGCATGCGCGCACACACACACACACACCCGAAGGCTAAAAAAAGATTTAAAATACATTCGTACTCCTAAAATAAGTAAATACTGAAGTGAATTGAAATAAAGAGTCAAAAATTATATGCAAACAGAGTAAAGGAGCTTTTAAACATAAGCTGTTAGGTCAAGGCTCTACCATAGTATCCTAAGAGCTATTTATAATAAATATTATTATGTAAACGTGTTTTAAAATCATCAGCTATCAGAGGCACCTTAACACAAATAAACATTTTGCATAAATATTAACACATCTATGTGTTCTGAAAGCATCAGCAAGCAGAGATATGAGTGATGATAACTTAATGTTCAGGTAATTATATAAACTTGTAAACTACACTCTTTAGGAAACTATAAAGCTATCACACAAAAATGCAAATATTTAACATTAATATTTCAACAGAAACAGCAGCAAATCAGGATAAAAACTCTATGGGTAATCTCTCTTTCAAGCCAAATATTTTCCAATAAATGAGCAATCACTCATTTATTGGCAAACAAAGACATGCTTTGCCATATTAATTAATATTTTCCAATAGCAAGTTAAGCATAAGCTAGAGGCTATGCTTAAACTCTTTCAAACTTCAGGAAGTATGATTTAGAAAAGCTTTTTCTTTGTAAATTGGTTCCCTATTCAATCTATAAAGAATATTCTTTATTTCCACATTTTGCAGAAAAGGAAAGTCCCTTTTGAATATTTACAGACCACATTATAAATCAACACTGACGTTTTCACATTTTATCCATTATGAAAATGAAAAATCAGTTTAAAAAAATAAGCAAACATAACTTTAAGTGATCTCGTATTTCTTAGGAAGATCCTGAGTAAAACTGGCACAGCTGATCTTAATTGACAGATTCTTCCAATATCTCTCTATGAAACACCTGGAAGACTGTCGAGAAAAAAGCCTTCAAGTAGACACTGTACTCTGAGCAAGACATATAAGCACTACCTATATTTGAAAGGAGAACTACTAATTCGTACCCAAAAAAGGTATAAATTTTTGTAAAGTAGAAATATGTATCTAATAAAAAGATACATTTGTGTGAGATGTGTAAATATATATGTGTAATGCACAAAGACACACAGGTGCATCTGGAAGTCATGACTATGTAATATTACTACCAATAACTGAGAAAATTAAAAGTAGATACATTTTGTCCCTTATTTTGCTAAGAGAAAATTTCTTAATTTCAAAATTACATTCATCATTGACCTTAATATATCAAAGGAGAAAGAAAAGCAAAACACATATCAAGTACACTACTTAGAAAACATACACCTTTGTAACCTTTAGCACTTCTGTTGTATGACGGACATTAAAGAAATTCATTTAAAAATTCCATTGCAATCGAGTAAAAAAAAAAAAAAAAAAAAACCATCTCCATTTACCTGAGAGCAAAAGGATATCTCCTTAAAATTTTTCTCCAATGCGATTTTTTTGGTGTCAGGACTGATGAGGTAAACTTCAGACTGGCCAATCTTAAAAGACAAAGAAACAAAAAATCTAGCTTTTCAAACTTTCTCATTTCATGACCTATGAAAATAAAGAATAAAAGGGGCAAGCTCCTATAAAATTCTGACTATATCATCATAGAAATCATATTTCAAAGGTTCCCACCTACTCTCTGGATTTCAGGTCGTACCAAACACCTTTTAGTGCCTTCACTTACTTACACAGGACAGCAGTCTTCCTTGAGATGAAAGAACCAGATATCCAAAAGTTAGCAATAGGCCTCAAGATCCACACATCCCTAAAAACTGAGGTCTCTGCATAAGTGAATCCTCCAGAAAACAGAATCTACTCTTTCAAAGCTTCCAAGATACTTTTGTATGAGTTTTACTGACAAGTCTTTCTAAGGTACTGTTAAAATAATCTACCATTTGTTTAGTACATATTATCAGACCTTTTCAAGTTAGAGTACGAGCATCAATTACCATCCTCTTCCTGACTTGGGACATGCTAACAGACATGCATTATAAGAGACTGCTGTGTTGCAATACCCATCCTATTCTGCGTGAACGTGCCCCTGCAGGCTGTGAAAGACTGCCTTTTAGACTCCACGCCTCTGGAGCGCTAAGCCCTTTGGGTTTCAGTGTGTGTTGGTTTCTATACTTTTACTTTCTCCTCAGGACCAAGAAGCCAGTGGTCACATCCTAACGTTGCCACTCTAACTCCCAGTCCCATCTTTTCCTCTAAACTCTTTACGCTTTGATAAAAAATACAAATCAGATACACAAGCTTCTTGGAGACTGAGGTCGAGGGGAATTATATTCTCAAAGAGGGGGCCCAAGAAAGCTGCATTCTGTTTGGGGCATGGACTTTGCACCCTGAATCATTTTTTCACACTTACTGTTTCTGAACTGTAGTTCAGCAGTAGAGAGCAGCAGGTAGCCTTTTATTCTCATCTTTCCATGGAGACCAGGGATGATGAAAAACTAATTCATTTTTAACATGCGACATCTTTCTAAGTTAGACTGTGTCTCTCTCTAGAGTAGGAGCCATCACAATAGCCTCCTTATTTGTAAAAAACAAATATCTATTTGGAGTATGTTTAGTCTCTTTAGGGGTCACTGTCTTTACCTACATAATGAAGATAGTCCTTATGTTTATTTTTTAAAATAACCTTTGAAAATCTTATAGTTGAGAGGCTCTCCAAGGCATTCTTATTTGGCTGTGGCTGGGTTGTAAAGAGTAAATCAGAATCTAAGATTGGGTGGGGCTCCTGAGATCCCTCTTCTTCCCCATGACATCCAATGGATTATGTATCCCTTTAATTTGACTTCCTGCACATCTGTCCCTTCCACCCCCACTGCACTTCAGCACAAACTCCACTGTCTCTCACCTGGACTACTGCAACAGCTTCACTCTCCTCCTCATCCTACTCTTACCCTCCCCTAAGCATATCCTGGCTCTGTAGCCAAAGATATTTCACACTATGTTTCAAACCATGCAGTGCCTGCCCACTGTTTCTGGATAAAAAACAAAATCCTGACCAAGACCCATAAAGTTGTGCCTAATGAACACAGCTCTCATGGGGCTGCCTCCAGCCCCAGCCCCAGCCCCAGCCCCAGCCCCAGCCCCATCTCTATGCGCTATCCTTCCTTGTTTTCAGAGCAGCCACCTGGACTTATTTCTCACACAACAGGTGTCCACAGAGCACAGCTGTGCTCTAGACACTAGCGATGACAGCTGTGAACAGAGATATGAAAATTATGCCCTCTTGCAGCCTATCTTCTTGGGTGCATGTGGGACAGAAGATCTTCTACTTGTTTATTTGTAATTATATTGGATGGATGTTTATTTGTAATTGTATGGAGAAAAATAAAGCAAAAAAGCAGGAAGTAAGGTTGCTATTGGCCTTACTGATATGATTATTCCTCCATGTCAACATTTCAGCAGAGACCTAAGGGAAGAGGAGGTTAAGACCGTGACAACCGTGGGAAGAATGTTGCGCAAAGGAGGCACACAGGCCTCCAGGACTCTCCAGGCACCAGGCACCATCCCTCCCTTAGGACTTTCTCATCTGTTGCTCTGTGAGCCCAGATGACCTTCCCAGGTGGCCACAATGAAACCTGTGTTAGGTGACAATCACTTTCTCAAAGAAGCCTTTCCTGGTTACCCTAGAAAATGCTCTCACGGCATCCAGTGCTTCTCCTCCACAGCCTTTGCCACAACTGTAATTACAGAATTATGTGTGCACTCAGTTGCCTGTCTCCCTTACTGGAATCTAAATTCCATGTGGGCAGAGACCATGCCTGTCTTGCTCATGGCTGCATTTCCAGCATGTGGCGAGGGACGTTGGCACAGTAGTCCAAGAGTCAGTACTCATAAATAAATGCGTGCAGCAGTTTTCCCAATGTCACCAAGAGAGTTTTTAAAAGATACAGATCACAAATTAAAGCGCAAATCTGACTACTCTTTCGGTACACTAAATCAATGGTCAAAAGATGAAAACATCAGCCCTATTTATCCTCTGGTGCACCACCTTGGATTTAAACCTGCACACACCCACAATGCACTAACCTAGGTAGCTGGTTCCTTACCCCCTTGGCCATCTCACTTGTGCCCTGAATTAGACACAAAAAGGGGGCTTTACATTTAAGGTAATTTTGTTCTCTATAGAATGTCAGTCAGCATTAAGCCAAAAAGGAGGCCAAGGAAAAAAATGGCTCCCTCCATCATTAGAGACCGGCTCGCTGCTGGGACAGCTCTGCATCTCTTCCGTTCAGACCCAGGGGACTCCCAGGGAGGGCACACACATTCAGAAGATCCCAGATCAGCATGGAACCAGGAACCCCACGCACCTGGGACAGCCCCCTGTCCCCGCCTTTTCTAGCATTTGGCTCACTGTCAATTTAACATATTTTTTTCTTTAAAGAAAAAAAGAGCAATTAGCCAAATTGACATTTCAGTTTGGGTCTAAATTTCAAATATAATGTTGCTCACAAAGCCACTTATCCTGACTAGCAAAGGATAAATAAATGTTTCATAATTTAAAAAATTAATAGTAGAGAGAGTGTTTTCCAACTAAAAGATTCTGTTGAAATATATCACCTGAAATTTATATATATACACATATATACATATATGTGTGTATATACATACATATATGTGTGTATATATATACACACGTGTGTGTGTGTGTGTGTGTGTGTGTGTATTTTGAGATGGAGTCTTGCTCTGTCACCTGGGCTGGAATGCAGTGGTGGGATCTTGGGTCACTGAGAACTCCACCTCCCGGGTTCAAGCAATTCTCCTGCCTCAGCCTCTGAGCAGCTGGGACTACAGGCATGTGCCACCATGCCCAGCTAACTTTTTGTATTTTTAGTAGTGACAGGGTTTCACCATGTTGGCCGGGATGGTCTCAATCTCCTGACCTCATGATCCGCCGGCCTCAGCCTCCCAAAGTGCTGGGATTATAGGTGTGAGCCACCGTGCCCAGCCAAATCATAAATATTCTTAAACATCTCTCTGTTGGCCTCACATGTTTTCACTGTTCTTCCCACACTGAAAAGGTGTCTTTACAATTATAGGGTGAGATAAAATTACACATGAGTATGAGATGGATCTCTTTCCCCCTGATGACTGTAAAGGCTTATGGCTAACGGAGGGATCTTAAGAATAGAATTGTTCAGCATGAATATATATGGATTCACACATAGACCAAAAGCAACTAAGAATCTTCGCTCCATAAAGCAGATTTTCTTTTGAGTGCATATGGCGGGCTGGGGCTGCACACGAGCTGGGTGATATTTTACCGTGAAGAGCATAGTTCGATTTTCCTCAATATCTGTGGGCTGCACAATATTGTGTCCGCTAATAAGGTGGTTCTCAATGTCGCTCTCCTCGAAGGAGCTGAAGAAGCCGCTAGCCCGGAGGCCCGCATCCTGCAGCTCCTTCCTGAAGGCCAGCGAGCGCAGGCCGGGCTGGGAGAAGGACTTGCGCATGGGCCTGCACCCAGGCTCCTGGCACCCGCCGGTGGTCGCGGCGTGGGGCGGTCCGGGACGGGGGCTCTCGGACCCCCGGCTGCCGCTGACGTGATTGAACTTCTCGATGCACTCATCGATCAGGGCTGGCGGGGCCTTCTTGTGCGCCACCGTTACACGGCCGCAGAAGAGCACCTCGAACTTCTTGGAAAACGTGTCGTCGAACTCCGACGGGCAGTGCAGCTCCTCCTGCCGGGCGATCTTCCCCGCCTGCCGGATGGAGCTGATGATCTCAGGCACCTGCCGAGAGAGGGAGGAGTGTTATTTGGAACACACAGTGTGGCTGGCACTCACGGAATGAATGCACTATGTTGCATTCATTTCCACACTGAATTCCACACTGGACGCCCCGCTGGCAATTTTCACCGTGGAGCAGTGGAGGAGGAGCCCACGGGTGGGGAGGTGACCACATAGCTTCCACAGAGAAGAGAAGCGGGCGACACTTATGAAGCACCTCTTACATGCCAGGGGCCGCACTAGAGGATTCACATGCCCACAGCACCCTGCAAGCTTAAACCACCAGCCTCGGGACACGCATGGCCCAACCTAGCAGGCCTTGGATTCAAGCCCAGGCTGGTTCCACTCCAAAGCCAAAGGTCCTCTCTGGAGTAGCAGCTGCCTCCCACAGAAGTCTGTCTCCAACGTGGTTCACAAAACGGCTCAATTATTCTAGCTCTCAGGGCAGTATGCTTTGGAAAGTCTTCTTGAGTAAATAGTGGGATGAAGATCAAGGCTCTGAAATTATCTTATCAATTATTTATCCAAATCCCAGCATCATTATTTCCTTCAATGACAACTCAGTCCTGTACTTCCTAACAGTTGAATAGTGACTAGTATGTCAACAAAGCTAGGAGGTTTTAATCAAGGAGTAAGCAACCCACGGCTAGTATTTACCGCAGTACACTCACTGGGGCATCTTCACACAGAGACTATAAAGCTTTTGGTTCCCAGTGTTAAAAATCATGATGAAAAGGATGTACTGAAGTTCTCATCTGCCACAGTGTTGTCCCTACTGCTACATCCTCTCATCATTAACCTCTGAGAAGATTCTTCAAAACAGCATTAGACATAAAGATGAATCCACATGGCAGTGAATGAACAGCTGGGCAATTGCTCAGATGACAGACAGCCTCAGCACTAATATCTGTGGCCAGGCATGAATTTAAACAAGTCTAAGGGAGGCATAAATTTAAGCTTCAAAAGGGCCTACTTTTTGTTATGATCTAACACACCTAAACCAATGTTTTCCATTTTTCTATGTAAGGAAAATTCAATTTAAGGCCAATACCCACAGGCCCAATGTCTTTTTAACAACATTATAGAGAAATTTAAAAATCACCTTTCCAATTCAGGTTCAAGATCAATGCATACAGTAAAGGAGGTAGTTTTAAATTGTAAAGGTATCCTTGTATTCAGTGTTCATGACATAATTCCCAAACCCAATGACTCAAAAGATTTTTCTCCTTGTGATTTCATATCAAGTACACTTTAAAGATCTCTCTGCCATAAAGATTACGATATATCCTTTCAAAATATTTTATCATACAAAGAGTCAAAAGATTTTTAGGAAAATTTTATATTTTAAAGAATTGATTCCTGAAGCATGAGACCTAAATGATAGTTTAAGAGCCAAAATTTCAGTCAAGCATGGTGGCTCACGCCTGTAATCCCAGCACTTTGGGAGGCCGAGGCGGGTGGATCACGAGGTTGGAAGTTCAAGACCAGCCTGGCCAACCAACATAGTGAAACCCCATCTCTACTAAAAATACAAAAAAATTATCTGGGCGTGGTGGCGGGCACCTGTAATCCCAGCTACTCAGGAGGCTGAAGCAGGAGAATTGCTTGAACCCAGGAGGCAGAGGTTACAATGAGTCAAGACTGCACTACTGCACTCCAGCCAGGGCAACAGTGCGCAACTGAGCCTCCAGAAAAAAAAAAAAGCCAAAACTTCAACAGGTCAAGCATCTGTCTGCACTGAATATTTGCTGGTGTTATAGCCCACTTTGATACTGCCAAATAATCATACATCATGCAGAGGCCTAAAAACTGTTGGTCAGGCCGGGCGCGGTGGCTCAAGCCTGTAATCCCAGCACTTTGGGAGGCCGAGGCGGGTGGATCACGAGGTCAACAGATCGAGACCATCCTGGTCAACATGGTGAAACCCCGTCTCTACTAAAAATTACAAAAAATTAGCTGGGCACGGTGGCGCGTGCCTGTAATCCCAGCTACTCAGGAGGCTGAGGCAGGAGAATTGCCTGAACCCAGGGGGCGGAGGTTGCGGTGAGCCGAGATTGCGCCATTGCACTCCAGCCTGGGTAACAAGAGTGAAACTCCGTCTCAAAAAAAAAAAAAAAAAAACTGTTGGTCAATTATAAAAAGAAGGACAGAGAGAAGAGAGTACGAAGTCTAGGTTTCATTCACATCTTTGCCAATGGTTCACAACAGAATCCTGGTAAAAACTTAGCCCTAGTTAGACTGGTCATGGTAGCACATGCCTGTAATCCCAGCACTTTGGGAGGTTGGGGGAGGCAGACTGCTTGAGCTCAGGGTTCGAGACCAGCCCGGGAAAATTGGGGAGAACTTATCTCTACAAAAAAAACACAAATATTAGCCAGGCAAGGTGGTGTGTGCTGCAGTCTCTGCTACTCAGGAGGCTGAGGCAGGAGGACCACTGGAGCCTGGGAGCTGGAGGCTGCAGTAAGCCAAGACTTTGCCACTGCACTCTAGCCTGGGTGACTAAGACCCTGTCTCAAAACAAACAAAACAAAACAACAACAACAAAAAAGCCATTGTTAATCTCCAAAAAAGAGGACTTTCCTGGTAAAAGTTATTTCTGTAAAGAATGATATTTGTCAAACAAAAATAATCAATTTATACAGGAACCTTGCCACTCTTCTAAGCAAGTGTCTAAGATTATTTTATCAAGTCACATGACTCTTCCCAATTACTAACCCACTCTAAACAGAAAACTCAAAGCTTATTCAGTCCTTTGGGGCTTGTTAAAATACCTCACGTTTCTACATGCTGTGTCTACTGCTATACCTGAAGTGAGCAGTGATGTCTTTCATTATATAACAAAGGGTAGACAAAATATGTGAAGTCACATGAATTTATTGGTGACTCAGTAGTAAATGGCACAAACAAAAAGAGGAAACAAAATAGATCACTTGACTGTTTCCTCGATTCCCAGGGTCAGAAGAAACCGAAAAATATATCATAACTTGGTCACGATCGAGGCTGTGGTAGTTTTTCCAAGGACCAATCTCTCATCTCCTTTACTCAAAATCTTAAAAAGACACACGTCAGTCAAAGACCAAAGTCTCTCTCTCCTTGCTCTGGTAAGTCCTATTATTCAGGCATAATTTAGCTAAGGGTTCTCATACTCAGGATAAGGTATGCCCTGCCTTCAGAAGCCCCAAGAAGCTGTAGTGTAATACAGATATAAAGGAGATAACTGAGGTCTAAAAACAGAAATCACTGGAATCCTGGTCAGAATACTAACAATTTCAGGACATCTGAAGGCAAAGAGCACATTACCAAATACAGTTTCAACAACAAATTGCAAATAATTTAAAAAAACGTAAAATGCCATTTAAACATTACTTTTAGTCAAGAATACTAAGACTAAACAAAAAATGGTTATTTTTTTGAATGGTTATTTTAAAACCCTTTACCAGAATAGACCTCAGGCATTGTTTTCTGAAAAATGAAGGCAGAATGTCATTCGTGATAAAATCCTGAATTCTCCATCTTTATAACTCTGTCCTGGACTCACCTATTTGCATGGAGGACTTGAGTCATTTACTTCATTTTATTCTATACATTTTTCTAGGCATCTGTAGATGCCAGAGCCAGGGATTCAGAAGTGTGAGAGGAATGTATGTGAGTCCCTGCCAGATGCCAGGTGGAAGGGGTTTAGTTGGAATCCTTTAGGGTAACTGAGGTGGGGCATGTTGAGAGCCTGCTGAGAACTAAGCACTGAAGGCTGAGAGAAAGGCTGAATGAAAGATTCTGGAAGACAGAACCAACAGGATTTGGTGGTGACCTGGATGTGGGGCTGGGGATACTGAATATGGGGCGTGGCACCCAGGGCTCTGGCTTAGGCTTCTGTGTGGATGACTGTGCCGTCAGCTAACCGAGGGAGTGCAGAGAGGGAAGGTTTGGGGAGACAGCGCAATGAGTTCTGCTTTTGTCTGTGTTGAGTAAGACCAGGACTTGAAAGTAAAGGCATCTAGCTGGTGAGTGGGCCTAGGTTCCAATACAGAAGCTCTAGACTGGACATGAGCAGCTCCTATCTGGGAGGAAAAGTAAAGGAAGGAGCCAAGACAGGCCCCTGGGATACCCCAACATTTCAGGTATAGAGAAACTGAGGAATCACAGGCAGAGAAGACGGGGGCCCCAAGGGAGGCAAGGATGAGGAGAAAGACACCCAGGGAAGGGGACACTCCATCTTCAAGAAAAGGAGTCAGCAACTGAGAATAGGCTAAGGGCTGAGATAGCTGGCTGGGGCTTAAGCTCATACAGACAAGTAAAAATAAGCAAGGGGAAAACAAAACTAAACCCCTAAAATAAACATGCCTCACTGAAAAATGTCCTCAAGTCAAACTTTATTTAGTCTAAAAGAACATATACTTCCAACGACAATATTTACTGTAAAAACACAGATCGTTTTAGGGCAAATCACTGACACCAGTGGATTTATTTCCACTGATATAATCTGGGTACTTTTAGTGAAAAGTTTTCCTTAGTTTTGTTGGAGCAATAGCATTTACGTCATTTCTGTTTGCAGACAAAGTAAATCAACTGTAAGCAGAAATAAGAATCCAAAAAGCATCTTAATGGGACAGATTCAATAAGGGTATGGGGCTTGGTTTTAATTTCTCCTGCATGGAGAATCACAACAAAACTGTTCATTGAAATCAATCGCCAATGATTAATGAAGAAACAGACCTTATTTAGATACATAAAACTCTGTTAAACCCCTCCTCTGCCAACCTATTTGAGTTTGTACTAAAACTCAATTTTGAAAGTAAATCTGCATTTTGTGCACAACCAAAACAAGTTTCTTTGTTCACATGCTGACGAATGCACAGTAACGTGCGACGCTTCTGAAGCATGCGTAAGTGAATACTGTTTCATACGTAGGCAGATAACGACATCCCAAGAGAATCAGAAATATTCAGATCTGTAAAAAAAAAAAGACCTTATTTAAACATTTGGGTCAACTTGCTTTTTAAGGA